GAGTGACCCTGGGAGGTAGGCCGGGCAGAGTCATTAGCTTTTCACAGCTGAAGGAAATAAGGACATGAAATTCAGAGAGGCAGTGACTCGTGTGAAGGCATGGAGGGGACAAGCCACAATTTAGTCGGCTGTCCCCATGCTGTGGGACAGGGACGGGACTGTGGTGGCGGTCAGGAGAGGGTTTGGATTCCGTGAGTGTCCCAGAGACCCCAAAGGGCATGTTGGTTCAGCGGTTTCACAAGACGAAGTTCCAGGTGACATCCCAGGAGAGGTTCGCTTTTCTATCTGGTATAAGGCGGCAGGTGGTCCGTGGGAGTCAGGCATAGACGGCTGTACTCCACACGGTCATTGTGTCTCCTCTGAGCCCCAGGACGCTAGTCTACATGGGCAGCATCGGTCTGATCTCTTGGTTTAGCAAACGGGAACCACTAACGAGAGATGGGCTGTGATTGGGGAGGGCGACATCCGGGTGTTTATGCCCCAAGAGCCTCTGCAAGGTTGTCACAACTGGCTATGTCCCTTGACCAACTGTCACGGGTCCTGATAAGTGGCCTTCCTACACACTCTCTTTGATTCACAGTTGTTACCCTCTCTCCTCACCCATGGTCAAGTGTGGCGATGACCCCCGTCCTGTGCTGCTCAACCCTTTATAGCTTCCCTCCTCCCTGACCACATCTTTGTCCACTGTCCCCCGATTAAACGGTTCCCACTCGGGGCGCCTGGGTGGCTTAGTCGGTTAGGCGTCCGACTTTCGCTTAGGTCATGATCTCGCGGTTCGTGGGTTCGAGCCCCGCGTCGGGCTCTGTGCTGACTGCCAGCTCGGAGCCTGGAGCCGGTTTCAGTCTGTGACTCCCTCTCTCTCTGACCCTCCCCTGCTCACGCTGTGTCTCTCTCTCTCCTAGAAATAAATAAAAATATTTAAGAAAAAAAAAACGGTTCCCACTCATACCCTCTGCGTCATGCTGGAAACTTGGCTGGTGGTCAATCAGGGACTTAAGTTCCTTTGGCTGTTTTCACCGGTAAGATCCTCATCTATGTGGTTATATCTGGCTCACCGTATTCCAACCCACTTGAAGGAAAGAAGAGAAACGGAGTGTATTAGTTTCCTATCACTGCTAGAACCAGTTAACCACACACATAGTAGCTTAAAAGGGCATGTGTTTATCTTACATTTTTGGAAGTTAGACATCCGATACAGAGTTCACTGGGCTAAAACCAGTGTTGCAGAGCTGTGCTCTTTTTTGGTGCAGTGGAGAAGAATCCCTTTCCTTGCTTTCTCCAGTGTCTAAGGTCCACTTACGTTCATCACAGTGCTCTTCCTCTAGCTTGAAGGCCAGCAACATCAGACGAAATCGCCCCCCATGCCGACACCTTGCTGATTCCCTCTTCCACCTCCGTCTTCCACTTTTAAAGACTCTAACGATTACATTGAACCCACCTGGATGATCCAGGCTAACTGCCCCATGTCATGGTCAGCTGATCGGTACCATAATTCCATCTACAACCCTAATATCCCTTTACCATGTGACATAACACAGTTCCAGGCTAAGGAGATTAGGATGTGGACATCTTTTGAGGGCCATTATTCTGCCTACAGCTTCCTTTTAAGGTTGCGTCCTTGAAGTTGCATACAACACTTTCATTACTATCTTGCTGGCCAGAACTCAGTCACATGGTCACATTGAACTGCCAGGGAGGTTGAGAAATACAGCTTCTTTAACTAGGCAGCTGTGGACCCAGTTAAAGCATGGAGGAGTCCTATTACCCAAGGAAAGAAGAGAGAGGAGGGATATTGAACAGCAATTTCTAGCCTGTTCCCCACCAAGCTTGTTTGTTCTTGGCAGGATCCGCTTTTGGTATCCCTTCATTTTGCCATCTTGGTGCTTTGGGCTAATTGCAGGTAACGATGGGCTCTGAGCTGCCCTTCACCTGAGACTGGCTTCTAATTTAGGAGAAGATAAGGTGGTTTCCTTAATGGACCACACCGGCTGCCTCAGAGGGATCTGTTTCCTGGTCTTCCTTAATGATTTTCTGATGAGACTCGCTGGTTTGCTGGTGTTTCTGTCTGCCCTCTGACCCACACCGCGTGTGACCAACCCAGCGCACTGTCCGCTGCCTTGCTCTCTTTTCCACATTCAGAGTCTTAGATCCTATCTGTCGCCCTTTTATTGGGTCTTGCCGGTCCCAGTCTCTGTAAGCCGGGCCACTACTCTCAGTCTCCGTGTTGGCCCTTCACTCAACCCCTGCTGTGAGATGCACAGGATTCAGTCTAGACTTCTCTCTCCTGGTCCCTCACACACCTCAAGAGGTTCCCTAAACCTCAACTCAAGTTTACGGAACTATTAGAATAATTGTAACAGAAGCAAAGGAAATGCATATCATGTCGGGGTGGCTCAGTCAGGTGAGCGCCCAACTTCAGCTCAGGTCACGATCTCATGGTTTGTGCGTTTGAGCCCCGCATTGGGCTCTGTGCTGACAGTGTGGAGTCTGCTTGGGATTCTCTCTCTCTGCCCCTCCCCCACTCATAACCCCCATCTCAAAACAAATAAATAAACTTAAAAAAAAGAGAGAGACTGTATTCATGCGGATGCAAGATAGAGCCATGCCTTCTTTCAGGGAAGCTGATGGAGGCTTCTCTATGCCATATACATGGATCTAAAACCAACAGAGAGTGAAAGTCTGTGTGACACTCTTCACAATTATAGCCAAACGACTCACAGGGCAAATTTTACTTCCTATACCTGACTTTGGGTTCTGGTCTCTAAGGAAGTATGTTCTTAACTAGATGACACAACCGTTGTACCATCGAATTGGAATGCACACCAATACCCAGCTATTCCTGGGTCCTCATGCTAGAGGGATAAACAGGCCAAAACGGGGGGGGGGGGGGATTTATACTTTTGACTGGGGTACTTGCTCTCAACTCTGAAAGGGTTGTTGTTACACAGGGGCAGCCTAGAGCGGTGTGACTACAATCTCGACAATCCAGTCCTGCCACGTCCAAGGGCAAAATGTAACGGGAGAGCCCTCGACCGCCTGCTGAAGGCAGAGGGAACGTGGAATGAGTGGTAAAGGAAGGAGATCATCAATCCTACGGCATCGTCTTGAGGAGTGACCGACACGGTTTGCAATCTCAATCTGTGTCTTTAAATTTTTTTAATGCTTATTTTTGAGAGGGAGAGAGAGAACGCAAGCAGGGGAGGGGCAGAGAGAAAGGTAGACACAGAATCCGAAGCAGGCTCCAGGATCCCAGCTGTCAGCACAGACCCAGACGTGGGGTTCGAACTCACAAACCAAGAGATCACCAACTGAGCCGAAGTCAGACGCTTAACCAACCGAGTCACCCGGGGGCCCCTGGAACCATTTGTTTTTGTTTTAGAATCAAAAGTGGGGTGAAGAATGCATCATGCTATTAGGAAGAGTTGGATTATAATGGGAATTCATAATTTTTTGTTGCTTGGCATCAAAATACTTCCTACCTTGGAAGATTCCAAAGACTGGTGGAGGTGAAACTCCCCTCCTACTACCCAAGCTAAAGGAGGCAGATGTACTCTCTTCTCTCTGGCAGCCAGGGCACATGAGGCTCAGGCTGGATAGTGTTCCCAGGGATGTTGAGTCATGAGAGAGTGATGCAAGATGCACGACAGTGGAGAATCAACCAGATGGTGCAGAGTGTCCAGTGGGACCAGCAATGGCATCCTCACCCAAGATTTCCTGGAGTGTGATCTCAGGCCTATTCCCAGAGGCATAATTGTCCTCGGTTGCATTTTCTCCAGTCATTTCTTCCATTTTATGTGCTATTAGATTATCTTTAAACAAATTCCTTTCCTGCATAATGAGCGTTAGTTTTCAACAGTTGCATCCAGGAACCAGACTGGCAAAATCATCATATTTAATTGGGCTTTTATTGTTAGTTATGTGGATTTTTTGCATTTTCAATATGAGTAGAGCCATAACAGATTATTAACAAGGCTTTTCTCCCCCTCTATTTAAGATTATTTTCTTAATATACAGGTTCAACTCTTAGAATCGATCTTGCCACACATTTCCAGATGACTCTGCAATGTATAAAAGATACTGTTTCACCAAATCTTTGCCTCGGTCCCTTCGGGAAGAACCGATACAGCAAGCAGTACAGGCTACAAATGATTTGTCTGAGGAAGATTTTTCCCATATGCCCATTTTTTAAGATAACCAAAGGTCATTAAACACCAAAGTTTAGAAAGCATAACCACTTTTTGATTTACAGTCTTTCCAAAAGACAGCACATACTTCCTAACCTCATCAAACTGGGATCCCCCATCTGTGAAGGTCTGGAGGAGATGACCGCTTTACGTTGCCCTTGCACTTGATTCCTGTGCTTTCCTGAGCGCTGGGGAATTTGCTGCCCCAGGTGACCTCAATAGCTTCCTGGTCAGAAGGAACAGAAACTCCTCCCTCTCCAACCCTTTCCACACTCTCTGCCTGGTACTTGCAGTCTCCAACCATTGAAAAGGTAGAACAGTGGAATGTTACTATTGCAAACAGATACCCCTGCTTGGGAAGTCTATCGTCTGTCCAAGGTGAAAGTCCGTGTCCTGGGGCAAAGCTGGAATGTGTTCCACTCTGTACACTGGAGCACACAGCTTAGACCCTGTGACAGTCTAGTTTGCAACTCTGGCTGACACACAGTTTGTGTGTCATTGGTTTTAGAAGTATCCAAAAGTCTAAGTGCTGGATAGATAGAGCATTACAATCATCCGTTTCAAGACAGATTTCTGGGTGGTCTTTCCGGTAGAAAAATGTCATTCCATTCTTCAGGATCTCCAGGGAAACTGCAATTTTCCTAAATAAGCTACTTAAAATTTTTTTTAATGTTTTATTTATTTCTGAGAGAGAGAGAGAGAGAGAGAGAGAGAGAGAGAGAGAGAAGGAGAGACAGCGTGAGCAGGGGAGGGTCAGAGAGAGAGAGGGAGAAACAGACTCTGAAACAGGCTCCAGGCTCTGAGCTGTCAGCACAGAGCCCAACCCGGGGTTCGAACCCATGGACCGTGAGATCATGACCTGAGCCGGAATCAGACGCTCAACCGACTGAGCCACCTAGGCGCCCCCTAAGTAACCTACGTTTTAAGAAATGTCATATTTATGTGTAATCCTAAAGCCTCTTTGTTAAATGTTTAAATCCAGTTCTTATGAGTCAGTCTTTAAAGGACATGGATCCAGGTGCTTTCCTCTTTCATACACCAGCGTTGGGGTCCGTATTCCTTATGCAAAAATGAGGGGCCAGATTCCCTTACGACAACCCCTCTGCAGGACGGCTTTCAGAAACAGAAGCCCTGTGCTGTGTTATAGATCATACACGCAAGACAAGTTAATGTGGACTCGGAGGCCTCTCTGGAAGTGAGACAAGATGATCTTTCATACTCAACAATAACAGCAATATTGCTACTCTTTCAAAAATCAGTAGATTTTGCACCAAAAAGGCTTGCAGACAAATTATGAGGAGTAGGTCAATATTTATCTTTATGAATATGGTTCCAGGGCCATTTGGGGAGGGCAGAATCCTCTGGTTGAGAGAATGGATATACAGGGAAGCAGATGTAAAAATTACATTTTGAATTCAATGCATTTTATTCAGGACAGAGTGATAGTTTCATACACAGCGTGAATACAAATAAAAATCAAATCCAGGACAATCTAGCACATGCCATCCAGATTTATTCCATTCTAGTGTTAGAGATATTGATTTATTTTAACTTAATTCGCTTACATTTATTTTATTTTATTGTGGTAAGAACATGTAATATGAGACCTACCTTCTTTTTTTCAGTTTATTTATTTTGAGAGAGCGAGAGAGAGCGTGAGCGAGAGAATCCCAAGTGGGCTCCGCACTGTTAATGGTAGCCTAACGTGGGGCAGGATCTCACAAACAAGGAGATCATGATCTGAGCTGGAATCAAGAGTTGGATGCCCAACCGACTGAGCCACGCAGGCGCCCTAAAATCTACCTTAACACACTTTTAAGTATGCGATACATTATCCTTGACTTACATATAATGTAAGGCAGAACTCTAGAACATATTCATCTTGCTTCACTGGAACTTTATGCCCACTGGTTAGTAACACATTTCTCCTGGTCCCCCAGCCACCAGCAAGTTATTTCACATGTAGGTTAGCTTGACTGAAATGATGATTAGTAAGTAGAATACTTATTTAGATTTGTACTTGCCATATATAACGAACTATTTTTATTTATTTATTTAAAATTTTTTAAATTTTCTTAAATTTATTTCTGAGAGAGAGAGAGACAGAGTGTGTAAGCAGGGGAGGGTCAGAGAGAGAGAAGGAGACACAGAATCTGAAGCAGGCTCCAGGCTCTGAGCTGGCTGTCCGCACAGAGCCTGATGCGGGGCTTGAACCCATGGACCGCGAGATCATGACCTGAGCCGAAGTTGGACGCTTAACTGACTGAGCCACCCAGGCGCCCCTATAACAAATTATTTTTAGGTTATGGAAGAGAAAGGAAGGCAAGAGAGGTTTCTGAAGCCAGAGGCGATTTCTCTGCTTCCCCCTTTCTATTCCACACGGAACAGCATTCCCTGGGCCCAGCTCAGATCTCCGGCAAGGAGCGGGCTCAGGATGGGGAGCAGGCAGGGCTGATCATTTCTGTTTCCCCAGTTCAGCACAGCTCCTCAGGTTTACTTGTCAGAAGCCAGGAGAGAAGGCACAGATGACTCCACCTCACCTCTGCCTAACTGTAGCAAGTAGCATATTTATTTTCTTGTTCAACAATCTCATTTTTAATGGCAACAACTTGATCTTCTAACTCTTTCAGGTGGTCAGCTTTTTCTTGTCTACTCAGATTCAAATCTTGGATCTTCTTTTCTAAATCTGAAGCAAGAAAAGGAAGTACAGGACGTATTATTTGTTTTCGGTGGATTCTGGTTACCCACCTTATATCTTCCACAGGGATTTGTGTGTCTCTTAAAGACGTATTTAGCTTTGTGTTTTGATTCAGCAGGCAAAACATTTATTTTCACTAGACTTCTCAAGGTTTTCACATAAATCAGGGCAGAAAAATTGATATTCTTGTCTAAATTGTATTTTACATCTAATGGCATTTATCAATGTCGCTTTAGACTTAAAGCGAGTTAGTTAGAATTCATTAGAAATGAAAAGACAAATGATGAGTTTTGATTGGATTTGGTGAATAATTTCAAAGATTTGTTCTTGCTGTTTTAACTGTTAAACAGACTGTCATTTCCATCTCTTCATTCTGCTCCGCTGATATGTAAGCCCTTGAACAGTAAAAGCAAAGTGATGCCTTTCACTCTTACCCACCCATCCACCTGCCCACCCATCCACCCGCCCACCCATCCACCCGCCCACCCATCCACCCGCCCACCCATCCACCCATTATCCCTTCTCCATTCGAATACCCGGCAATTGCGGTGAAGTCTAGCATGGAGCCCACAGAACAGCTGACAGTGTGAGGGGCCGTTAGGAAAGAAACTGCCCTTCGGTTGAAGTAAAGCTTTTTTTGAGAGAGAGCACGAGCAAGGCAATGAGCATGTACTTGAGTGGGGGAGGGGCAGAAGGAGGGAGACAGAGAACCTGAGGCAGATTCCGAGCTGTCAGCACAGAGCCCAACGAGGGGCTCGGACCCACGAACCGTGAGGTCATGACCCGAGCTGGCGTCGGATGCTCAACGACTGAAGCACCCCGGCGCCCCTGAAGGGGAACTTCTCAAGGAAGGAAAAGTACATGTCCCGCTTCACCTGGACAGATGTCACCCGGGTAGTACCGGGTGGCCCGGGGAATCGTCACCCTAGCCTGCAGCATGTGTGTAGAGGAAGGAAACAGGGTGCGGAAGGAATTTGAAACCGTTCTGTGAGCAGAAGCTGGGGATGTTCTACATAGAGAAAGAAGACTCGGGGGCATGCGCTGGAGTTACTTTCAAGTATCTGAGGGCTAGAAAAGCGGAGGAAATGTGACTTGTGTGATCCCGAGCAAACAGGATGGAAGTTCCAGGAAGGAAGATTTTGCCTGATTATAAAGAACTTTCTAGCAGTCGCAGCTGTTCAAAGAAAGAGCTGTCATGGCAGGTGGCGGGCATTCCGTCTCCAGAAACTTAAATCCAGGTCACCTGGGGCTGAAAAGGCACTTCAGCGCCGGAGGTATTTGCTCTAAAAGGAGAAGGGCCCCTGTGTTTCTGCCGCGGGAGTGGATGAGGCTGGGCCATTGCTCCTCGGCCGCCTGACCACGGCCTGCTCCGTCCTGGAAAGCCGGCCTCGGTGGATGCTGTCACCGGCCCCCCGATCGCCGGGGCTCATCCACACTTGGCCGCCAGGCAGTTCTGGGAGGCGGGGGACGGGCCCAGAGACGCTGGAGAAGGCGGAGCAGCTGTCGGTGAAGCCCGGCCCCAGGCAGGCCAGGCCCTGACCCAGGGGCTGAGAGCCCCTTCTGAGGGGCCCAGGGCAGACCCGAGGAAGGGCCACCCAGGAAAGCCGCAGAAACACAACACACGTTTGGGGAGTTGTTCGCTACGCCATGAACGGATAATGGAGCCAACTCTGTTTATAGAAAGCGTGATCCGGGGGCACCTGGGGGGCGTAGCTGGTTAGGCGTCCGACCTCAGCTCAGGTCAAGGTCTCGCGGTTCGTGAGTCCGAGCCCCGCGGCGGGCTCTGCGCCGGCAGCTCGGAGCCTCGAGCCTGCTTCGGATTCTGCGTCTCCCCCTCTCTCTGACCCTCCCCTGCTCGTGCCCTGTCTCTTTCGCTCAGAAATAAAAAAACATTAAAAAAAATATATGTGATCCAGAATTCTCTCCAGGTGTGCTTCCTATTTCCCGCTGGGACCCTGAATTACACCAAGTACTAGAGAGGGACCCTGGCTGGGGGCTGGGGTCCACTCTCACTCCACCTTGACCCTGACTGTGTAAATAAGGGCTCCTTTCCGGGATCCCAGGGGCACGTCTTCCAAACAGGTATGACCAGAGCACAGCCCTTATGCGGTTCAGACCCTTCTCGAGTGGCAGAATCAGGAAGGTGGCCAGACCGATGTCTTCTTTCCCTACCTCACTGAGCTGTGAAAACAGCTTTCAAAAGAGAGCCAAGAAAGTGGAGCGTGTTATTTTAGACTCCTCTTAGGGGGCCCCTAACTTCCCTTCCAAGCTAACTTCAAAACCTGTGAGAGTTTGAGTCTATGGGAACACGTGGGGACAATTTGCGCCTTGGCATAAGTCACAAGACAGAAAATACTCTTCCCATGCTTTGCTCCTGCAGTAACGACCAAGTTGTGTGAATAATAGCAGCTGATTTTCATGCTATTGCTTTTGGAGGGGAAATTAAAAAACGTTCTTTTTGACTCTTTCCTAGCAATTTCTTTTCAAAATCATTATGGAAATATGGAAAATGAAAACTGTGTAAATTACATAAATGTAAAAGCTGTAAATCATATAAACAAGTACATAGATAGAAAAAGTAGTGTTTTCTTTACTCCCGTCCCGAGATAATGAATGGTAACAGGCCGAGACAAATTTTTCCGGACTTTGGCCCACACCAATGGTTGATCTTCATTTTTTCCATGTCATAGTGACGAAATAAGTCATTCTAAGGTCAAAGACCCGTTTTATAACAAAGAAACGTTATACGTGAAGAGTCCCGGTTGTCTGAACATTTTGAGAGTTATTTATATCCCAAATGAACATGATTCGCTTTCAAGTTTTGGAGACAATATAAATACAACCAAAAATAAAACTAGACCACTCCTCATTTGATATTTCTTGATGATTTAGAGGTAGTTAAGGGCATGATGACTGACCAGAAAAATCATGAGTACAGGTTGTGGGAGAAGATTCTGATTAACTTTCTGATTGTATGTATTCTATGTTTACTACACTTTGTGTGCATTGATCAAAATCCTTCTTGATCAGAATCCTTTTCCACACTATAATTCCTTCTGCCATGCTGCCTACAGATCTCTGTGGCATGATCAGTGCCTTGGGGTCTCGATCATACGGACTCCAAAACAGTTATTTGCATGAGAGGGGAAAATAGGTTAGGATGGGGTATGTCAAGTTTGTCAACATCCACACTACTGATTCTCTGGGCAAAATGATTGTTCATTGTGAGCTGTCCTGTGCGTCATGGAATGTTTACCAATGCCCTGCACCCCCACCACTAGATGCTAGTGGTACCCCCGGCTGTGACAAGCGGAAATGTTTCCAGACATTTTTGTCCCCAGGGAAGGAGATAAAATTACCCCGGGTTGAGAACCAGTGGGTTAGGAAAAGGGCATTTCAGGTTGACCAAAGGCAATGCCAGTTAGTTCGGAGGAACACAGAAATGGCGGCTCACAGATACGCTTTGAAGTAAAACCATGCAAGTGGCTTGTTACACTGCCGTCCCCAAGGCACTGACCCAATTCCTCCTTCCTTTACTCAGTGGACTCGCATGTGGTTGAACTATGTCATGATAAATTGGTATTCATTCTACCAGGACGGTGCGGTACTACATTATTGTCAACTTGGTGGAGCGTGTAATAGGACAGAGAGGACTCCCATATAATCCAGTAATCCCCTTTCTGCGTATCTCTCTGAAGGAAATGAAATCCATATGGCAAAGAGATATCTGCATTCCCTTGTTCGTTGCACCATTATTCACAATAAATAAGATATGGAAACCTGAGTGTCCATCAATGAATAAAGAAAATGTGTGTGTGTGTATGTGTGTGTGTGTGTGCAAAATTCAGCCATAAAAAAAGAGTGAAATTCTGCCATTTGCAACAACGTAGGTGAAGCTGGGGGACATTATGCTAAGTGAAAATAAGCCAGAGAGAGAAAGACAAAGACTATATGATCTCACTCACAGATTCATGCGGAATAAAAAACAATAATAAGAAAAAGCCGAACTCACAGAAGCAGAGAGAATGGTGGCTGCCAGGGTCTGGTGGGTGGGGAAATGGGGAAAGGGTGGTAAAAGGGTATAGTTTTAAGATGAAGACTTTTGGGGATCGAATGGTCGGCGTGGCGCTGCCTAGTTAACGAGTGAATAAAGCTGTATTGCGTACGTGAGTAGATGTTAAACATTTTTACCCTAAAAAGTATGTGAGCTGATGGATTGTGTTGATCGGTAATTGCGGAAATCACGTTACAATGTATATGTCCATCGAGTTGTCACAGTGTACACATTAAAGGTATACAGTTTCACCTGCCGCATCAACCTCCACAAAGCTACAAAAAGGGAAGAGATACCTGCTACTCTTCTTATCTTGTCGTCTGTATCTACTGCCAGTTTTTCTGCCGCCTCTCTGAGCTGTTCCACTTTAATTAATGTTACCTTTGTTAGTGCAGTAGCACTTGTCTTCTGTTGAAGAACAGCATATTGGTTGGTTAGCTCTGCAAACTCCTGTAACAGAGAAACACTCCCGTCACCGGAAAATATTATAAAGCACGTATACATGTGTGATATTTGCCTGTTACTGTTCACAAAGGGCAAGAGGAAACCGCGATCCAATTGATATGTTGGCATCATCCTGACATTTCCAACAGGGCTTTTATTCGCATTGGTTTTTGTTTTTAGGCTGGAAAAAAAAAATCCTCAGCTTTAGCTAATTAAACATAAACTTGCTTGGTTACAAAAGAGCAACCGTGAGTCCACGTTAAGGCAATGATTTATGAGGCACCGACTGTTTGTGCTAAACTACTTAAGGTGGGAGACCCAGAGGGCTGAATGATGCAGGGCTGCCTTTGACAAATCTTTGGTTCGACTGGATCAAACAGCTGCCTATACAGGATGGAGGGCCCAGGGAGGGGTGAAGATTTAGCAGCAACGATACGTTGCTGGGCTGGCAAAAAGGTAAGAGAGAAATGAGGCAGGGAGCGAAGTGGAAGTGTTAGTATCCAGAGGTCCCCCAGTGTTAGAATGGAAGTCTCTGGGGTCAGCCTGAGTGGCTGACAGTCTAGAATGTTGAGTGAAGGCCAGGAAGGGCTCTGAAGATGGGGAGAGGGTGGGCGGGAGGTACCTCTCTCCACCCCTGTTCCGTAGACAGCATGCTCAAGTCCCAGGTGGTGGGAGGTGACCCCGCCCACTAGGAATTAAAAGCAAGAGAACAGACCGATTGTAAAAACACTTCAACGTCTTTCTTTTGGTTAAGCTCCTCTATTAATGCAGCCAACCAGAGACAGCCTGCTCAGAAAAGGAGTTGATGGTTTCTTTCAGCGAACTAGATTAATAGGGTATTTTCCGCAACTGTTTAATTAACGCACTCCGACTTTTGTAACGTGATCTGTTCTCTTTGGCAGGTGACTTTCACTTGTTTTCATTATAGGTTATGTGATTTATTTCCAGTAAAGGGTAAATATGCCCAGGACAGACCAACGGCACAGACTGAATGTTTGGAAGGGGCGGAAGAAGAGGCGAGGTACCACTGGTAGCCCCAGGAGGGGCGGATGGGGAGAGGAAGCACCCCTCGGACGGTCGAAGGGCGTTTGTCTTCCCCCGAGACAGCCGTGCACGACAGAAGAGACCTCATGACCGTGGCAATGAATCCCTACTAACACACACCACTGAGCAGGGCCCAGCACTGACGGAACAGCTCACGAATGGCACCACGAGGCGGGGTTAAAGGACTATCCTTCAAAGAAGCACTGTCTGCTCTTGGTGACACCGGTGGGCTAATGACCTGTTCGAGGCCCCCAGCCTGGCGTTGGGCCGACGCGGCCTGAGCTCTCACGCGGGTGGCTTGCTCCCCGTTCCTATGCAAGGCGGTCCGCAGCCGAGAGAGTCCACCTTCCAGCACCGAATGCTGCTTTGCTAAGTCCAGCCTGTTCTCCGTGTCCTTGGCTTCCTTTTCAGCCTGTCATCGATGGAAAGACCAGAAAGGAGAAAGTGTCTTCATGTAACAAACAACGCGAAAGCAAATGATCTAGTTATACCCTCCAAAATAAGCTAGGTGCGAACGGAAAGTAGATCATTCCTTCAATTTTTCTGTTCCATTAAAAACAAGGTTGTAATAAAATACTTCAGGCATACACAAGGATGTAAAAGTAAATATGGTACGTGTCTACACGCTCACCAGCCAGTTGAGGAATAAAGCACTCGTCAGTGAGCTCAGGCCCTCATCCCCTCCCCTCCGTCCCCCTAAAGGGAACCGCTATCCTGAATCTAATATTTGTCATTCTGTGTGTTTCTGCATGCTTTTCACTATTACGTAGTATTTTTTTTTTTTATCATATGCGGTATTTCTTTTTTAACTTTATACAAATAAATGATACTGTATATTTCTGCACCTTGAATTTTTAATTCAAAATTATGTGTGTATATTTCACCTTGGCTAATTTGCACCGCTCTTGTTTATTCAGTTTTAGCGATTTAAAGCATTCCAATGTTTGGATATATAATTTATATTCCTATTCTCTAGCTATTTATCGCAGGTGGCTTCCAATTTTTTCCCCTTACAAACAGTAATGACCATCTTGTACTTGTTGCTTATTTCTGTGACTATATTTGTCATATTTAGAAGTTAATACTGCCTAGTCATCTGTTATATCCTTTTTAGTTATTTATTTTTAGAGTGAGAGATCATGAGTGGGGGAGAGGGGAAGACAGAGAGAGAGTCTTAAGCAGGCGTCATGCTCAGCCCAATGCAAGGGGTGTGGGGGAGGGGGCTCAAGGCCACAACCCTGAGATCACCACTCAGATCCTGGGATCACCACTCAAGCGACTGAGCCACCCAGGCGCCCCTGTTATCTCTTGTATCTCAGTCTTTGCTCATACTTTCATGCCTTCTTTGATTTTCTGAAGCACAATAAACATTATGATTATGTGTTCTGTATCCAGTGATGGCAATATCCGCAGTCTCTTGTGTTCTGATTCTGGTGTTTACTGTTTCTGGTGACTCCTGCTTGAGGCAATTTGTTCTTTTATGTGTTTGAGCAGAAATGTTTGAGTCTCCGTTTTAAGGTGAATTCTCTTGTTTGCCTCTGTCAGGCACCTGAGGGTGGCCCAGGACCACCTTAAGGGACATTTTAGCCCGGGTTGTGGGGGCCACACAGGAAGTGTGAATATGACCCTCCAATTCCCGTGAGAGCCAGCTTGTGGTTGGATATTTGTAGTGAAGACTTTCCTTCCCTACGGCCCCAGTATCTTACGGGCGCTGCTGTGTGTGTGTGTGTGTGTGTGTGTGTGTGTGTGTGTGTGTGTGTGTGTGTGTGTGTGTGTGGTGGTTTAACATTTCACTAAGGATTTTGCCTTTCCATTTGGAGTCTTATTCTCACCTTGAATGGGCTTTGTTTTCTGTCTCTTCTGCACGCAGAGCGTTCGAATGCTCTCATGCACCAGGGGTCGGCAGAGACCCTCCCCGCTCTCGGGTTCATGCTTTATTACCTCTCTGGCGTCAGGCTTCCCCGTCACTGTTGGCCTTGAAGAGTTCCCCCATTTCTCACGAATTCAACTGTGTATTAAAATTTAAAACGATCCTCTGCAACACCTTGGGTATTTTTCTACCAGGAGGGCCCCTGGGGGCCTGGCCCACCGAATACAAGTCCCTTCTTGTGCCCTTGGACACAGGAGGAAGTTTTTCTAGAGTACAAGTCTAGGACTGTTTCTGTAAAGGACCAGATAGTCAGTGTTGCGTGCTGTGTCGTTCATAAAGTCCCTGCTGCAAGCACGCGACTCTGTGCCCTCCTCCATGCCCGACGGTACGGGGCTGTATCCCAACCCAACTTGGTGGCCTGGGGTGAGAAGGCCGTCAGTGTGTCTCTTTGGCCCACAGGCTCTATTTTGCCATCCCTGGTCTAGAGGACGTATATACCTACGTTAGCACCTGGTTCATGTCCAGCCCTTTTAATTTCCTGCTGCACGGCCTCCTGTCTCGTCGCTTTCTGCTCTTCCTTCCCAACTGCATGTACTTAGACCTATAAGACCCGGCTGCAGAACAGAGAGGGACCCGGCTGAGGAGCCAGCATTCCGCGGAGAAGGGGAGGGACTGGAGGAAGGCACTTCACGCAGCTTGGGACTGGGTCCCGTCCTGTCCTCCAGCGGCCAGACTCCGCTCCCAGATCCATTCTGTGGGCTAAACCAGAGCTTTGCACCCTGCCCCGAGCTCTGGACCGAATGCTTTCTGTAGGGTGAGATGTTCTTTTGGTCTTAACATAGTTGGATGAGATCTCATGCAAAACCTGGCGCTTACAAAACCCTGGCAGCAATTAGCTTTATTTCTTTGCTTGTGAGCTTTAGCAAGTCTATCTCTTTCCCTGCCGTCAGAGGGGATTAAACTCTGGCCTCAAATCTCCCTTTCATTAGCTGTGTGACCTTAGGCAAGTCACTTAACCTCCCTCAGTCTCAGTTTCCTCATTTATAAGCAGATAGTAGCACCCGCTTCACTCCCCAGGATGGGTCGACTATGAACGAAGTGATACAGTGAAAGCTCCACAGAACGTTGGGCGCCTGGGTGGCTCCGTCAGTTGAGCGTCTGACTTGGGCTCAGGTCACGATCTCACGGTTTGTGAGTTCGAGCCCTGCGTTGGGCTCTACTGTCAGCACCGAGCCCACTTCAGATCCTCTGTCCCTCTCTCTCTGCCCCTCCCCAACTCATGCTCTCTCTCTCAAACATAAATAAAACATTAAAAAAAAGAACATCAATTAATGCATACAACCACCGTCACTTCGTTTTATCCTATAATCATCCCGTCAGATGGGTTAGGCAAGCATGACATTGGCACGTGTAAAAACCATGCTGTGTCCACATTCAAAATCTTTTTCAGGTTAGTTTCAAAGAGGGTAGAGAGATACCTGCAGCGCGTTCTTTTCCATTTTTGTCATCTCTGCAGTCAGCTGTGTGATGGTAGAATTAACCCGTCCTTGGGCGATTTGAACTTGTTGCAATCTATTCAGCGTTTTGTCGAGATTTAATAGAACATTTGCTGCTTTTCTATGGTAAGATATTAACGTGTCAGATTAGATAAATATACAGTTATTCATTTATTTCACCTTGGGAGTTCATTTGACTCAACGGAAAAACTTGGCTGAATTATTTATAAAGTAAATTTAAATGACTCTTAAGCAAGGCAAAGTGCTAAAGTCTTTATTTTGAGAAACAGGTATAGTTACACGCCCGTAAGAGCGCATACATATGCGTATCAAGTAGATAGGGATTTTGACAGATATGGAAATCGGTGATACGGGTCTTGTTCCTTAGTTTCTCATAACCAGAGAGGGTTGAGGACTCTCGTCGCCAAGCTTTGAACAAAATAACTCTGCGCAGCCGATTCCAGTTCCCTGGTTTGTCAAACTTAGGCAATGCTCTCTAAATCCTTACTGGAGCGGGGGTGGGATAATCAAGAGACACCACAGACAGCGACGAGAACGAAAAGCCCTGCGTTTTCAGTTTTCAGGCTGTGTTTATTCAGGGTTATTTAAGCCTCACTGACATCCTAGCTGCCAGGGGCCCAGTCAGAGGTTAAAATCACAGGCATTCCAAGTGACAGTCTGTTTTACAGAAATAAGCTCACCTCACAGTCAGCGGTCAGCAGACCCCGAGGTCTGTGGGCTCAGAAGCACGTCTGGGAGAATGTACTTTGCAGGGGCACGATTAGAAGTGCGCGTGGAAGAGTGAGACTCACTAACTTGTGAAACACCCCCTTCCCCATGCAGTCCCACCTCTTCTTCTAGTGCATTCTCTCCCTCACTTTTTTAAAAAGGCTGTTATTGTTGTTTTTCTTTGTAAATTTTTTTACATTTATTTACTTTAGAGACAGAGAGAGAGATTGGGAGACAAAGCGTGAGCAGGGGAGGGTCAGAGAGAGAGGGAGTCACAGACTGAAACAGGCTCCAGGCTCAGAGCTGGCAGTCAGCACAGAGCCCGACGCGGGGCTCGAACCCACGAACCGCGAGATCATGACCCGAGCGAAAGTCGGACGCTTAACCGGCTGAGCCACCCAGGTGCCCTTATTTGTTGTTGTTGTTTTTTTTAAAGCAATTTTGGATCATAGCAAAATTGAGCAGAAGGTCCAGAGAGGTCCCTTATACCCGCTGCCACCCCCACCCCCCCGCCCCGCATAGGCATAGCCTCCCCAGTGATCAACAGCCCCGCCAGCCTGGTGTGGGTGTTAGCGTTGACGAACCCACATGGACACGTCATAAACACGGAAGTCCACAGCTTACACGGGGGCTCACCCTTGGTGTCCATTCTGTGAGTCTGGACAAATGCACCATGACAAGTATTCATCCTTAGAGTATCCTATGGCGTGTTTTTATTGTCCTAAAATGTCTCTCTGTTCCCCCTTTCCATTCCTCCCCTCAGCCCCCGGCAACTACTGATCTTTTTCGCCGTCCCCACAGTTTTGCCTTTACCCAAATGTCCTGTGGTTGAACCACACAGTGTGTAGTTTCCTTTCTGTGCCTCTACACTTACAGGAGGGGTTCAGGAGACTTCTCATAACACTCCCCCCAACCACCGTATCCTTTGATTGTATTCTTTTTCCTTCAGATTTTTTTAGATTCTTTTTTTTTAGTTTTTAGGGAAAGAGAGAGAGCACACATGTGAGTGGGGGAGGGGCAGAGAGAGAGAGAGATTGAATCCTAAGCAGGCTTCATGCTCAGTGCAGAGCCCGACGTGGGGCTTGATCCCATGACTCTGGGATTATGACCTGAGCTGAAATCAAGAGTTGGATTCTCAACTGACTGAGGCACCAAGACACCCCTCTTTTTCCTTTAGATTTTCATGTAGCTGCTTATTAAATTTAGAAAATACCAAAAATTAGAAGAAGAAGGAGGAGGAGGAGGAGGAGGAGAAAGAGAAGAGGCGGGGGGAGGAGGGGGAGGAGGAGGAAGAGGCAAAAACACAAAAAAAGAAACAATGTACAGAAAGGGAAAAACTTACCACTAATCCTACCACCTTTTAAGAAAGCAGCATAGGCCGGTGTTTTTACCCTACAATTATTTTTTCTTTCCATGACGGAGACCCTCTTTAGTGTATAACCTCATATCCTCTGCTTAAAAGCATTAGTATTACACTCTAAGAATCTCTGCGTGTTATTAAGAATCCTTCCTCAGCATCATTTTTAATAGCCGAGTGATTGTACTTAGTCTTAAGTACTAAGCCTGGCAGGGGCTGGGCTTACAGCTGAGGCTGGCACACCTCGTTTACACAAGTGGGTATGGAGACAGCGAGGTAGCTCAGGTCTCAAATGCTGGGCATCCAAAAATGGTGGTGGATACTGATGACGTCGCCACCATCCAACTGACCCTGTGACCCTGACCCGCAGCACCCCACGCTCATAAAAACATCAAGAGGCCTTTTCCGTTTTGCTCGGCTAAGTGAGCAAGGGCAAGGGGAAGCAAGAGGTAGTTGACGCGTCTTCCTCTGTCTCTAATTTTACTCCTGTGTTATTCCCGGGGCACCAGCGTTCCTTTCTTCCATCCCTTGCCACCATATCTTTGTAGTGTAGTCTTTAGAACAAAATTCAGGGGCGCCCGGGTGGCTCGGTTGGTTGAGCCTCCGACTTCGGCTCAGGTCACGATCTCACGGTTCGTGGGTTCGAGCCCCGCGTCGGGCTCTGTGCTGACAGCTCAGAGCCTGGAGCCTGGTTCAGATTCTGTATCTCCCTCTCTCTCTGACCCTTTGCTGCTCACGCTGTCTCTTTCTCTTTAGAAATAAGTAAAACATTAAAAAAAAATAAAACAAAATTTAGATCTTCAAAGTACTTACTGTCTACTTTGTACCAGACATAGGTAAACAAGAAAGGGAAAATATACCGATATTCCCGCCACTTGTTAAGATACTGGCATATAACTAATGTGCGACATTTATTATTTTTTTTTATTTTTATTTTTTTAAAATGTTTATTTCTAGGAGAGAGAGAGAGAGAGAGAGACAGCGTGAGCAGGGGAGGGTCAGAGAGAGAGGGAGTCACAGACTGAAACAGCCTCCAGGCTCTGAGCTGGCAGTCAGCACAGAGCCCGACGCGGGGCTCGAACCCACGAACCGCGAGATCATGACCTGAGCGAAAGTCGGACGCTCAACCGACTAAGCCACCCAGGCGCCCCTGGAAAGGCATTCTGAGTCTAAGGCAAATGGAGAACCTGTGTCCTCACCCACTGCCTCCCAATTCCCCAGCTGCACCTGCAAAGGACTTGCAGCCTTCACGGTGGGCATTGAACTACTGGAGGGTAATTTCATTTGGACGTTAAATAACCCCTCACACAAATATTTTGCAGATGGTCTTTTAGCAGATGGTCTGTGAGAAGAGGAATGGGAATATTATTATTGTACTTACTCAGCTCCGTTTGCTTTCACCAAAACCTTCCGGGCCTCATCCGCTGCCATATTTAGCCTGCCCTCATCTGCTCTGTAGTCCTCACAGAGCTGTGTCAGTTTCCGTATCTTGTCAAGTTCATGGGTCAGGTTTTGTGACGTTATTGGTAGGTGGATGTCAAGTACATGGCTTGCAACCTTCTCTATGTCCTCGGGAGGCACGTTTTCCTCTTAAATAAGAAAGTGGGTTTTAGGTCATTGTGTCTCCTTATTCAACACTATATCTTGTAAATACAACCAGAACGAACTCTAAATCAAATGTACTTGCACTTGATTATGTATCCCTAGAATAGAGGGATTAGGTTGCCTGTTTCCCCAGATTCTTCTTCATCCTCAGTTTCCCCTTCTCTCTGAATACATGCTGCACAAATGACTGCCGGAAAAATGAAAACCTACCGACTTGGAATATTGTTTATGTTCTGCAAAACATACTCCAAGAACTATTCAAGCACCGATTCAAAAGCAGTTAAAACGTTTAGATGCAGGTCGTTAAGATTCAAATACAGTAGGGGCGCCGGGGTGGCTCAGTCAGTTGAGCCTTCAACTTTGGCTCAGGTCATGATCTCATGGTTCATGAGTCCGAGCCCTGCATCAGGCTCTGTGCTGACAGCTCAGAGCCCTTTGGATCCTCTGTCCCCCCTCCCTCTGACCCTCCCCTGCTCACACTCCCTCAAAAATAAATATACTTAAAAGATTCAAATGCAGTGAGGCATTGGGGAAGCACCAGGTTTGGACTCAACAAAAGTCCATTCTAGTCCTCCATGACCTTAAAAACGCTCACCATCGTCACCCATCTCCATAACTGGACAACACCAAAGTCCTATTTTGAGAAGGCAATGTGATCATACAGAGGAGAGCACCTGATGAGTAATTTATTATAAAGAAACTGTTACATACACGCATGCCCTACTTTTCAGGAAAATAAAATTGGTCGTCCCTGAGAACTGAAGCAGAAGATGGATCATTAGGGTTCAGGCTGGTAACTCTTTGTGCCTTTCCGGCTCCTGACTGAGGCAGAATGCTACGTCCCACACGGGGAGATGGCGCTCTAATCCTCGAGGGGTTTCCCATCACGTGGGGGAATCTAAGCCGTTCCATGTAAATACTGATCACATAAGAACAGAAGCAATAGATATAAGACAAAATGAGGGCGCCTGGGTGGCTCAGTCGGTTAGGCGTCCGACTTCGGCTCAGGTCATGATCTCGCAGTTCGTGGGTTCGAGCCCCGCGTCGGGCTCTGTGCTGACAGCTCAGCATCTGGAGCTGCTTCGGATTCTGTGTCTCCCTCTCTCTCTGACCCTCCCCTGCTCGCACCGTCTCTCTCTCTCTCAGAAATAAATAAAACATTAAAAATAAAATAAAAAAAAAGATGAAATGGTATGGGGCCCAGAGGGAGGAGGAAATATTTCAGGAAGAACCTCAGAAAGGCACATAAACTGAGCATGGAGGACAGTGAGATTAGACGTGGAAATGTGGGGTGAAGGCAGGGGTCAGAGCATTCTAAACCGAGGGAACCTCCGGAGCCCAAACCCGGGAGCGATGATCAGATCTCTGCTGGTGGGAGAGTGGAGTCTAAATGGGGGTGGGGAGGGGCCCCGAAGTCCCGAAGGGCTGGGAGCAGGACACAGGAACCTCTCAGTGTGAGGCTGACGAACTTGGGCTTTCTTCAGGAGACGGCGGCACCCAGACAGCTTTTAGCTTTTGAGTGACATGAGTATATAACCCGTTTGTAATCATTTTTGCTTTAGCTGTTTTGTCTCATACAAAAGGAATGTTTTACTTCCTGTCATGTTTTAAAAAAAGGCGACAATTTGGTGAATAAATTAAAATCATACTTTAAACAGAATGTACTGTGCTCGGGGAGTTGGCTCTTGTAAGAGATAGTATTTCCTGTTATAAAAAATTATTGGCATTAATGACTAGATCACAAATTCAAAATTTGTATATGGGACTAACTTTGTTAATAGGGAATTCAGACCACAAGAGAATATTAAGAGGGTCAAGAAGAACTAAATAGTGTAGCCATCATGCAATTTAACAATACTTTTATTTGGCTTTCTGGAAAAGGTAGAGGAGAAGAAATTGGTGAGTGAAGGGTTATGGCTTCCCAGTGACTAAGGGTCTTGGGGCCCAGATCAGAGAAGCTTCTTTCATGGAATAGGATTTTTCCCTTTACCTAATTGTTGTTGTAATAATCTGGACACAGTTTTATTTTTCACTTCCTTAGGGTAATTAAAGTACATTTTTTAAAAATGGAAACGTATTCAGCAGCAACAAGAAATATGACTGGTAAGGGAATAGGTTCTATGACCCAGGGAAGGGGGTGGAAAGCAGCTGAACTTGCCCTTGAACCATCGCTGGGGCCCAGAGGTGTATTATTGCACTATTTTCACACTGCAGGTCTGGTAGTTCCGTTTAGTTTTGGTTTTCGTGCCCGAACTGACCCATATTTGCAGAAATCGCCAACACGTTCCTCACGCCAGCCAGTTCCTGGATCTGTGTCTAGCCGATACGAATCCGTCTAGCTGACTCACTGGAAATTTGCTTTTGAACAATCAGGCAAAATGTCCAGGGAACTGATTCTGCCCCCATTCATTTTTACTGATTACTTTGGTTATTTTTACTGATTATTTGTACTGCCTACGTTTCTTCTCATTTTGAAAATCAGGACTAGAGCAGCTAATACAGTATCTAGTAACACTGAGATGGGAAGAATAATCGGCCACAGGGGTCTCTTACAAATATTAAATAGATTAACGAAGTGGTTGCAACGATCGTAACAGACATCCCAGTTGTCAGTTAATGCACATGAGGAGCGTTAAATTATTGACTCTGGAAGATGGTGATGGAGAAGAAAGCCTCGTAAGATTAATTCTGTGTATTCAAACTACCTTACTTGCAGAGTGTGAGATTTTTAGGTCAATTTTCAGCTGTACTATGTGATTTTTATCTTCAGCTAATAATTCTCTATAGTTTAAAATAATCTTCTAAAAAATAAAATAAAATAAACCTTTCCCAAAATAAAGTACAATGAGGGATATAACATTGTAATTGTAACAGTAATGAATCACAAATAGTTCCTTTTGCTCAATCACAGAGAACCAATATGAAACTTGGGAAGTAATCCATGATAGTTAACATCGGATATTTTATTTTTTAAAAAATTTTTTTTAATGTTTTATTTATTTCTAGGAGAGAGAGACAGCGTGAGCAGGGGAGGGTCAGAGAGAGACGGAGTCACAGTCTGAAACAGGCTCCAGGCTCCGAGCTGGCAGTCAGCACAGGGCCCGACGCGGGGCTCGAACCCACAAACCGCGAGATCATGACCTAAGCGAAAGTCGGACGCTTAACCGACTAAGCCACCCAGGCGCCCCAACATCGGATATTTTAGATACCACTTCACTATAGTATTTGATAGACTAACCAAAATTTGGTACACCTTGATCTCATACAGTCTGTCAGCAGAGAACATCATGTTAGATTTTCCTAACCTTAGGGAATCTGACAGAATCACCATGTTAGACATTTTTCTTTAAAAAACATATAGCTTCAAACACCAAGTTCATTGCTTGAAATTTCAACTCAATTCTAGGATCTAAAAATTTTTTATCACTAAACTGATCTTACACAGATAGCTATATGTTTTGGGTACACAGTTCATATTTTGGGACTATTGTCATTAAGAAATATTAAATTAAGGAGTATATCTGATTTATGCATTTCATTTCCATTAAATGTAATTTGGAATTGGTTGTGCTGTTTGAGTATACATTAAACTTAAAAAAAGAAAAGAAAAAGTTAAAGAAACAAAAACTAGTCCCAAAATACATTTTTTTATTACCTGACAAAAACTTTTTCAGTTTTTTGATCAGAAGACTCATTTTTTCTTCTTCGGATTCACTTTGGTTTTTCATAGTCCTCAGTTTCTCACTCAGCTGTAAGGCATTGTCTTTGGAGACTTCTGTCAGTTTACTTATATTTTGGAGCTGGAATAAGAAAAGAATAACAAGACGAGGAAACACAACAGTTAGGAACATGTGTGACGTTTCATCACTTAGCTGGGCCAGCTGGAATTCACTAAAAACAAAACCGAAGTCTAGGTAATTAAACAAAAGATTTATTTTAAAGGATTCCTTTAAAAAGTGATATTTGTTTGCATTATCATGTTGTCTTAATAATGTGAATTTATCTTGTGGTGCCTGGCTGGCTCTGTCAGTAGAGCACGCAACCCTTGATCTTGGGGTCGTGAGTTTAAGCCCCATGTTGGGTATAGAGATTACTTAAAATCTCAAAAAAAAGTGAATTTCTCTCTGAAAACATTATTAGTGATCAACACTGCTATTTGAAATCCATAATGGCCTAGTATTAATGATTTTTCCTGACACAAATATGAAACACAAATTCTGATTTAATGATACTTTTGCATGCTACATCATCAGTAAATTATTTAGGACTCTTTTCGTGGCCATTGTGCTTAATAAGTTGAATTTTATGTCAGTAAAAATAGGCACTCTTCTCAACACTCCTCAAGTTCAAATAACGTACTTTCTTTAAAAGCTAAAAAGAAAGCATTCCTCCTTTTAATAAATGAGTTTGAACTCGGAGCAGCCTACAAAGATAAATCCCAAACTTTTGTACATTTGGTGGAGAAATGATAGGTTGAAAAGACTTGCCCCCCAGAAGTGCAAATTCTTAATTATGTGATTTGAGAAAGGTTCTGGGCTTTTCTTGAGATTCCAACAAGTTAGAGAAAGAGAGGAAAAAACCCAGAAAGCAATAGGACAATATCACCAGCAAGTTGAGCTGTACTGAATAAATTAATTGTGACAGAAGTGGAGCTAATTAGGATCAAACACAATTAGGAAAAAAAATCGCCCTTTATTTCCTCACAAAAGGAGCCAGCTTAATTTGAGCTGTACAGATTTTGTGGAAAAGGGTTTCATTGCAGCCATTGGCAAATGATGAAACAGAAAAGAAATATTTCCATGATTAAAAATATGTATCTTCGCTTGGTGGAGAGCTGTTCCTTAATTCTCTAGAACTTTGAAAACCTTATAACGGCTAGCTATTGCAAAGACAGTTCTTAAAAGTTCCCAGCGCAAGAAAAAAATGTAACTGTGTGAGGCGATGGATGTCAATCAGAGTTATTATATTAATCATTTTTGCCATATATACATCTATCAAACCATTATGTGATACACCTAAAACGAACACAATGTTATGTGTCAATTATATCTCAATAAAAAACGAAATAAAATGGTTAGCAGTAAATAAGAATGCATAGGAGTAAAACGAGAATTCCAGAAATAATTACTCTGGCCAGGAAAACACCAGAGTATAGAGATGGAATCTGTATGGGTTAGTCAATGCCATATTCCGAAAGAAAGAGGCCGCTAAATTACTTCACTCTTCAAACCTCTGTCTGCAATCCATCTTCTGTCACAATGGACTCCTGAGAATTCTCTTACAATCTTTTCTGGCGCTGTTCCCCCTTTCTAATCAAGAGGAAAAGAGCATACCATTTTATCAACATGAAAACTCCCGCCCCAATCCTTTCCAGTTCTTCGTGTGTATGCTGCTTAAGCCAGATTCTGCTAAAACACACTTCAGGGGCTATCTTTTAAAAGCTGAACGCAGAGCTTAGTTAAATGAGGTGAGATTTCTGTGTTTTTGAGAAGGGGCAGTAAGGATTACTGTAACCAGCAGGACGCAGGACCAGGGTTTGCATTTGTTAGCTCACTGCCGTGTTCCCAGCACCCAGGTAAATGTCTCACACATAATAGGTACCCAATGAATATTTGTTAAAAGAGTGAACAGCGTACAAGTGAAAACTATGTAGCGATGCAGAATTAGGACTGTGTAAATAAACATTTTCAACGTTTAGTGTGTGCAGGGATATCATCCTTCAGCTTGGCTCATCAGAGGCGAGTTCCAGAACTCGGGATTCTGGGGTGTGGGAGTAAGGGCTCAGGCTCATGCAGGTGAGGCTCATGGAGGAGACTGTTGGAGTGTGTGTGTGTGTGTGTGTGTGTGTGTGTGTGTGTGCGCGCGCGCGTGCGCCTGCAAGCACATGTATCCACGTGTATGTGTGTGTATGCACGCTCATCTCTTTCTCTCTCTCTCTCACACACACGCATGTGCACACACACATACACTCTTAAGCATGATTCTCGGCCATTCTCGAGCTTGGCCCTCTATCCTTCTATCGATTCTGAGACCCAGAAGTAATGGCGTACATTTCCTTTTTTGTGTTTTTCAGGAGTTGGTTTCTGTTGCTAACAAATAGGAATGCTAACTGCTCTAATATTTAACTTATGTTGTAAAAAGAAATTCAGCTCTCTGGTTGTTCCTCTTCATCAAAGACTCTATGTATATGGTCAAAAACAGAGCAACTTAGGGCACACGTCGTCATCTTGGTTACAGATGAACCCAGTGTATTTACAGAATACCTAAAATTGCATTCGTCATTTCAAGATGAACATAATGTATTCATAAAAAGAAACCTAAAGAAAACTAGGCAATTAGATATTATTCTCATTTACTGATATGCCCGGAAAAATAAATGAAAACATTTAAAATTATTAGAGACTCAATTATCAGGTACTTAAATATTAAAATGTCTATCAACATAAGAAGGAGTATGAGGCGTTTGGGTGTATTCCTATTAAAATATTTTTTGGGGCACATGGGGGGCTCGGGCATTAAACGTCCAACTTTGGCTCAGGTCCTGATCTCGTGGTCTGTGAGATAGAGCCCCGTGTCGGGCTCTGTGCTGGCAGCTCAGAGCCTGGAGCTGCTTCGGATTTCGTGTCTCCCTCTCTCTCTCCACCTCTCCCCCACTCTCACACACACTCCCTCTCTTAAAAGTAAGTAAACCTTAAACGATTTTTTTTAAATAAAATATTTTCTAAAATTAAATTCTAGGGCCACCTGGGTGGTCAGTCAGTCGAGTGTCTGACTTTGGCTCAGGTCATGATTTCACAGCTCTTGGCTCAAGCCCTGCATGGGGCTCTGTGCTGACAGCGCAGAGCCTGGAGCTGCTTCAGGTTCTGTGTTTTCCTCAGGTTCTGTGTATAAATACACACATATACAAAAATATATATTTACACATGTATAGGTAATACATATATAATAGAAAATATGTCAATATTCACACATACCTCTAAATGCACGTTTACATCCACACACATCTGTATTTTTAATCCTATCTTTCCAAGCATATGAACACCTAATATCTAGAAGCTATCCTTCCCCTTAGCAGTTAAATGGCAGTTTTAAAAATTTCAGTTTGCTCTTCTCTTTTTACTGCTACAGCCTTACAAGTAGAATAAGAGAAGACATATTTACCCGAGTCTTCCAACCTGGAACCTGGCCGCTCGAAGCATGAATCGCGGACTCTGTTTCCTGAGCTTGCTGGAGGGCTTTGCTGGAGAGGGTCCGGGAGCCACAGGGCGGGAGCACGCACGACATGTCCCCTGAGTCCCCAACACACCTCACAGGAGAAATGATTTAGGTTCAAAAGCAACATGCTGGCAGAGTTTTTTGCAACGCCACCCAGGGTCACTGAGGCAAAGCAGAGCTCTATGCACGTGCATTTCTTCAACAGTGGTTCACGGACACAACCAGGAAATCTTTCTAGGCACCGAAATATCTGAATCTCTCGTCGGCATCATGTCAATCAATGCCATTCTTTTACGCTGAAGTCTTTGGGGAAACCAGTCAAATATCTAGCGTTCCTCACATGTTCATTTCACTTTTTTTTAAATTAAAAATTACCTTTTACTTACAGTGGAGCAGGAGGTGTATATGACCATAATCTGTACCATTGTGGAAACAGCAAATAATATAAATAAATATAAGATACTAAATGAAGCCACAGTCTTACTCTGAATTTTCTCACACGTTGACTTAGAATATAAAAAACAAAATGTACATGTGTTTATATTGTTTCTATCTTATCGAACAGAGCATATATGTTATTTATATTTCACATTTATAAAATAAAAATAAGAAAATAAAACGTAAGGCAAGGATATACGATTGAAGAGATCTGTATACCAAGTAGAAACTACCAACACTATACCGTCATGAGTATTTACCTTTTCCATCAGTATTTGGATATCTGGTACTGTAATCTGTTTTAATTTTTCCGATGACCAGTTTTCTCTTGAGCTTAGCTTATCGAAGATGTGAAGTAAGTCACTCCTGGTTTTTTCAGAGTTTTTTATGATAGAAGAGGTCTCGTTAATTTTCTTTTCAGCAGACGATGACCTCTGATAATGCCTCTTGATAGTCTCTGAGCAATCTATATTAATGCAAATTGAGGTCAGATAAATTGTGTGAAGACAAATGCAATTACGTATTTGTTATCAGGACAACTCGTTCACAGATTGACCATTGTCTGGGTCGCAACGGTCGGTACAAAAATTCGTCATCGTCTTCCTTGAATTTACCGGCAATGGGAAGGACAGCATAAGGAAACAGATATCGGTAGAATGGGTATAGAGCGTTGAGGGTTGAGGTGTATCTTGTGGACAGGGGTTGAGTGTTGGCTTTACCCTTTACTGTCTGGCTGTGTCCTGGAGCAAATTGGCTAACTGCTTAGATTGTGTCTGTTTAATGGTAATTTGTGAGGATGCAGTGAAATAATATGACAACACTCTGCCAAGTGTTTCACAAATGTATTAGCTATGTATTGATTAGTATTAGTGGTGACTACCTATATGTACCTATATGTACCCTAACATGAGACACCAACCCAGTTTACCTAACTATATGGAAGAGTTGCCGAATTTGTCCGGGAAAGGGCCAGGGAATAAATGCTTTAGGCTTGCCGGCCACAGCCTGTCTGTCACAGCTTCTCACTTCTGCCCTGTAGAGTGAAAACAGCCACAGGCAATACGTCAGTAAGCAGGCGAGGCTGTCTCCTGACGAAACTTCACTTGTAAAAATAGGCTCTGGGTAGAAGCTGCTGGTGGATAGTAGTTTGCTGACCTCTGATGTTGAGGCTAATGAAAATGGCTCTCATTGCCGAGCGTTTTCTACCTGCCTGAACATCTGTCAGTTTCCGCCCTTCCTATCCACTGAACACCGTGAGGTCGCCTTGGTGCGATTGCCCCCATTTTCCACATGAGAAAATGAGCCTCTGAGGAGGTAAGTTATCTGCCTGAGGTCTCACTGACAGTAAGAGACAAAGTCAGGATTTGATTTTATAAGTCAAAGTCAGAAGTGCTCTTAAGCACTTTTCTGTATTTTCCAGACTTACAGTAAAATACACACTCGTGAATGTGATACGGTACGTTGTACTGCAAATGAGAGTCGAGGAGGAGTTGACATTTTAACTCTGTATCTTAGGAATGCGAGGTGCAGGGTCCTGATCTTGACCCCCACACGACCGTAATTCGGGCACGAGACAACGGCCCCTTCCTCTTGCTTGGGATGATTTTCTGCCTTTGTTTCTCTGGCAAACTTTATCTTCATTTGTGAACTCCAAGTCAGAGGTCACCTGCTTCCCAGAGCCTTTCCCAGTAAACCCAGGAAGAATTCTGTTCTGCTCTGTTCCTCTGTGGCTTGAAGATGCCGTAATACAGGCCTGTCGTTGTTTGGGGCTGCCTTCCGTGCCTGTCCTCCCCTGTGGACGGGAGTAACTCAGGGCAAGGACTTGCTGTTCGCCCCGCCCCATCTCTACTGCCCTGCGCACTGTCAGGCATCCAGGGGAAGCTTCAGGAATTGCTGTTGGATTGCGAGCTTGAGAGGATTAACCTGGGGGCAGTGTTCCTTTCTTCCTAGTTGGCTCCGGTGCCTGCTGATGCCTTTTTTTTTTGAAATCGTACTGAAAGGTAGCTCAATGTGATTTGATTACGTTTTGAAACATCCTGGGAAAGTTCCAGAAGCTCCACAAAATTGCCAGGAGTCCCCAGCAGAAAAAAAGTCAAGACCACCTTTATCTGGCATGTCCCAGACAGAGGCCCCTCCGCTGGCTGCGTCCTGGGCAGGGGACAAGGCGCAGAACGCTGGCTCCGGGGGACACTGGGAGGGGCCAAGCAGGCTTCAGTTGCCCCTGAGATGGACTCTGTCCTCACAGCCTAATCTACACTCTCTCTCTCTGTCCACGTGTGGATTTTTAGATGCCGGTCCAGATCGTCCGTGCCACGAACAGCTCTATAGTGGGCCATCTGGATGGCGACAGTTGAAGGTCCTTTTTCCGAGTCACTGCTTGTTCCTTTGACTCTGAGGGAAGAGCCAAGGCTTTCTGGGCATCACTGATGTCTGTGGAGGGACAAGTTGGTTTTGGAACATCCCAGTCTAGTTCTGCAGCACTCTGGAGGGGGGGCAGCCTCTGGGAACTCCCACAGCGCGCAGGCTTGAGGCACTGGGGCTCGGGCGGCTTGCTTTGCAACACGGCGAGATGATCGCGAGCTGCCTGCCTTCCCCAGCAGCTTCCCGGAGTTGGGAAATCACCCCCACACCAACCCCCCCAGCCACAGCATATGTGTCCCGGCACCCCACTGACGGGCACCTTCTTCCAGATAGGAATCGGAGCAAATCCCTTACTCTCCATAGTCCTTACGGAGCACCATCCCTAGCTATTACACTAAATTTAGACCTTCCTTGAGGGTCATAATTCTCTTTCAGGTCGAGATCCGATGAAAAACTGGAGCATGCACACAGGCTAAGGAGACGCTGGCAACGTCTGTGCCTTGAGATGAGCTTTGTGCACGTTTTCCCTGTACCTCTCCATTAGGTGGGTTAGGGGAGCGTAGGTTCAGGGCTGCCTCTCCCGGTAGTAACAGGTTATCTGTTTCTAGATATAAAACAGCGATCTCATCAGAGATCAGGAGATGAGCTAATCAAAGTTTTGCTTTTGCGTTCCATCTTGGCTCCAAGTCAATCTCTGCTCTGGCGTGATTCCCATTCATTTTAACAGTGTAAGATGAATGAAGGGCTTTTTGTACGTTACACGACTCCAAATCTCTACAAAGTTCTTATGAGACATGTTGCTGGGGTCCTTTTGACCTCACGTGCCTGTGCATTTGTGGTTGCTGGGAATGGAGGACCAGACATTGTTAGCTTTGCTCATCATTTCTGGCAAATGCCACCCAGGCTCTGCAACGTTTACAAAGTTGAAATACTCATGTACAAATAAGACCTTCAACGGGTGTGTTTTCACGTCCTCAAGTGCCCAGACACTATGTCAATGAGCACAGGGCAATTCACTCATGGAACACACTACGGACTTCATCAGCCTTTGTCCATAAACGTTGATGTGCCTCTTCTCTCTTACCCATGATGTGTGCATTACGGGCTCTGGAGCGCAAATCAGCTTCTTCCCGAAGATCTTCAAGTAAGCGGTCGGCTTCGTTCTTCATTGTCACCAGTGTTTCTCTCAGATCTCGAAACTCACGCACTGCTTTCAGCTGCACACTTAGCTGCGTGACTTGTTCCCTGGAGGGGAAATGAGAGTGAAGGTAGCAAAGCTTGTGTTACTTTTGATAGATCAGTGAAAAAACACCTAAAAAGTGCCCTCGTTATTAGGTAGCCTCATAATTCAAACAGATCCTTCTTCCCCGATGTTTTGTTTGACAGTTTATAGTTCTGTTTATGGTTTCTCTCTTTCTTGTTAATTCAGCTGCCTGGACTGTTTCAGCATCACTCAAACTAAGATCAGCCTACAAGGTCTAGTAGAACAAAGGCTTTGAATCTTTCCATTTCAACTGTTTATGCTCTTTCTGCCCTCCTTTGCTTTGGGTTTTCCAGAACATGTATTCAGACATGGTTCACTTAAATCAATGAGATCCAATCTACATTCAGTTTTCAACACAGAAGGCCTTAGTAAAACCAGCCTACGGTAAAATCCAGTTCTTTATTTAGAATAAATCTTGCTTGCAGCAAGGCTACTTCTAGTACTACTTCTGTACAAGGTCTCAATTTTTTTTTAAGATTATTTATCTATTTGGTGGGGGGAGGGACAGAGAGAGAGGAAGAGAGAAAGAGAACATTCCAAGCAGGCTCTGTGCTGTCAGTGCAGAGCCCAATATGGGGCTCAGACTCCTGAACTGGGAGATCATGACCTGAACTGAAATTAAGAGTTTATGCTTAACTGACTGAGCCACCCAGGTGCCCCAAGGGCTTAACTTTTAATTCCCACGAGTGACAAGGAAGTTTCCTTGTTGCCGTGAGCACCCCTGGGTATGTTCATTCTCCTCACCTTCTCCATGGCACACGTCTCTGTCCCACTTCAATTTACTGGGTTCAGCATACACAGTGGGTTCAAATAAATAATTGCTATATCCCTCGTGATAAGGAAATCCAGTGCAAATCTTGGAGGGCACCGTTGAGGAAAATTACAATATGAATCCACGAGGCTAATTTATCTTGGCTGAAGTGCCAAGCATTAACTAACGTTTCCTAGCATTTTCGGCTCTAACTCTCCCTTCTGATCTATAGACTTTTCCTTCACGGGCCAACTGTCAGGACTACAACTCATCAGACTAATAGTAATAACATCAACACCAACAATGGAATACGGTGTGGTTACTGCCATTATAATGGTTACTCCTGAAGCACTTACAACGCACCAGACATCATACTAGGTGGCTTGTCTGAGTAATTCTCACAAGACACCTTGAACAGAGATGCTATCCCCTTTCTTGATGAAGAAACAGAAGGTAGGAGAAGTGAAACAACTTGCCCAAGGCCACACAGCAGTGATTCCCGTCACGGAATCTATACCCACGACGTCCTCGGTTCCCTGTCCTCCCCCTCCTTTCATTTGTAATTTGCCCAGAAGACATTTGCCGTAGAATTAAACCCAGCCTGGTGAATATAAGCTGAATAAACGGGTAGCCTCCGTTTTCAAGGCTCCCCCAGGGAGGCAATGACCAGTGAAGCACAAAGAAGTGGGAAGATGGGGAAGGAAACACATGTCTTTTTCTGAGGAAATCATGGAAGGCGTCAGGGAGGTGGTGGTGTTTTGGTGGTTGCGGAGGAGGAATGGGAGCTCAGCAGGCAGAGCAGGAGAGGACAGGCGTGCAGGCTCCTGGCAGAAGAGGCCCAGTGCTCCCCGAGTTCCTCATCGCTGCAGGCCTGGCCCCGGGGGTCCTGTGGTCTCTTTGTTTAGCATGCCCACCGTGGACTGACTCATTCTGCTTTCTCAGTTCCACCTTGTTCGCCATTTGCTATAACTACAAACCTGTGGTCCATGGTCCCAAGCCCCTTCTCAACACACATTTATTTGGCCTGTGCAGTGCTTTTTCAAAGCAGTGTTGGGTTAGCTGGCTATATTTTAAAGTGGGCACATTTCCACAAAAAATCTGGAGGTCTGACATCTCTCAAAAAGTGGGAAGGTCTGGGGACACAGCTCCCCAAATTCTGCAGCGCAGCGGTCTTTACCTGTCTCACCTGCCGGCCTGACCTGGCCACGGGGCTTACCTGGGCCCTGCAGCTGCGTGGCCCTTCCTCTGAGCCATCTGGGGGGACTGTACCTCCTTCCTTTTGTAACTCTGTTCATTTTGAGAGAGAGAGAGAGAGAGAGCACACGTGTGCATGTTCATGTGTGAGTGGGAGAGGGGCCGAGACGGAGAGTCTCAAGCAGGCTCTGCACTGTCGGCACAGAAGCCAACATGGGGCTCGATCCCACAGACCGTGAGATCATGGCCTGAGCCGGATACTTAACAGACTGAGCCACCCAGGAGCCTGCCTTTTCCCTGTGTTAACTTGGAAGCGATCACTATATACTTCTGGGATTTTTGCCTAGCAACAATGAATGGCCTTAGATTTCCACCAGTGTTTCGTATAACACCAAACTGCAGCCTCAACTCTTCCTCAATCCAGGACCTTCTATGTGGGATGGGGGATATTTTGCCATAGATCACAATCATTTTGGTTTCTTAGTAGATCATTTGCTCATAGAAGGATGGAAACTATATCCAATGCATCCTGCTGTTGCCCAGAGCATTTAGCAAACTTTTTTCTGTAAAGGTCCAGGGAGTAAATATTTTAAGCCTTGGGGGCCATTAGTTTCTGTCACAACTACTCCACTGGGCCACTGTCCTCGGAAAGCAGCCACAGAGGGTATGTAACCACACGGCTTCGGTGCTGTTCCAGTGAGTCACTTACAAAACCAGGGCCTACTTGGATTTTGCCTACGGTGTGCTGACCCCTGGCCCAGAACAACCAACCAAACTTCCAGAAATGTTCGATGAATGAAAAGAAAAAAAAAAAAAAAAGGAATCAATGACATACAATAAAAATGACAATGCATTTGGAGGAAATGATCATACTTATTACAGGACTTTGCATTTGCACTCATGAATGAGTTTCTAAACAACTGAAGAATTTGGGAAGATGTGGCAAATTCCCCTGAGTGCATGATTGAAAAAAAAAATATTTGTATTATGAACTACCCTATTTCCGATTTTGCATCTTTTGGCTCCTGCTGGGTGTGTCTGGACTTTCCCAAATCAAGTTAAGGACTGCCTTGCTGTTATCATCACTGGCATCTGGAAAGATCACGTGTAATCCTAACTAGGTAAGAGACAGACAACCCTGATCGCCAGCCCGGTTATTAACCGAACAATTCTTTCCCTACTGTCCGCATAGGTACGTTTCTAAATTGAGAGCCGTTAAAGTTCAATAGGAGTTCAGGTGCACTGGGAACGTGGCTATCTAGCGCTTAGGCACAAATCTTACCGAACAGAGTCATGATAATCCTGGACTTTTAAGAATTCCCCAGATGAGCAAACGGGATGTTTTAAAATCCTTTCTATTTCAGACATGTTCTCTCTGAGGCCTTTGAAGTCAGCCTCACAGACAAGCAGGGTCTCTCTTTTATCTTCCATGTTCGCAGCCAGACCAATTAACCCTCGCACTGCTTCGGAGAGGGAGGAAGTAGTGTGGTCCCACTGATCAAAGCACCGGTGACACGGAAGGCGAGCAGGGAATTCCTGGCTGTGACCCCGGGCACAGCGATCACAGCGAGGGCCGCTCACACCCTCCCGACAGCGACACATGCCTGTGGTCTGGTCACAGACGGGCTTCTGGGTACCTTCTGCGGTACAGTCACAGGCTAAAACACAAGAAAGAGCAGAGGATGTCAGTCCTTTGGCTTTTTGCTTACGACTAGCTCAAGAATAAAGTCCACTCCTCTCTCCTGACAACGTCCCTAACGCCCATTTCTTTCACTCATTGAGGGAGAGACAGCGAGTGCCCGAGTGAGTGGGGAGAGGGGCAGAGAGGGAATCTCAAGAGACTCCACTCTATCTGTGAAGAGCCCGACCTGGGGCTCGATCCCACGAACCATGAGATCATGACCTGGGCTGAAATCAAGAGTCAGACGCTTAACCGACTGAGCCACCCAGGTGCGCCCCTCCCCGCTTCAATGCCCATTTCTAAGGTGAACACTTGAAACTGGTATAATTACAGAGACCTGGGCAATGGTCATTAAATAACTTCCGTCTTTCCATTCCACTAGCAAACCCGTTCGTGGTTCCTATCTGGAAAATATTAGGGGCCGTCTCTACTGTGAGTGTCCCTGCATGGGCTTCTTTACCAATTCGAGTAGCGTGGATCTACCACGGTATCGAGTAGTGGATGACACACCAATGGCTGCTGTCACCCCCCACGGGTGGCTCGGGTGTGTCAGAGACTCTCTAAGAATTCTCCTGACCCCCCCTTTGTCTAAGTTAAACCCAGCCTGGGTGTGCGGACCCATGCTGTTTTCCATTCTATAAGGAGAATTCATCCATTCTCACAAAAGGGAGGAAATTGCTTGTTCAGATTTACCCAAAGGGCGCGAAAGCCTGCAGACTGATGTTTGCAGAAGCTTTATTTAGAATTGCCAAAACTTGGAAGCAACCAAGGTGTCCTGCAGTAGGTGACAGATAAATACGCTGCGGTGGAAGGGATGCTTTTCAGGGCTAAAATGACACGAGCTTATCAAGCGATGAAAAGACACGGAGGGAACTTAAATGCATCATGTTACCTAGTGCAATAAATCAGCCTGAAAAGGCTCCGTACTCTAGGATGCTGACCACCGGACGTTCTGGAAGAGGCAACACTATGGAGACAGTCAAGAGACGAGCGGTTGGCACGCGCCGTGGGAAGAGGGGTGGAGAGAGAGGAACAGGGGGAACACAGAGGATTTTAGGGCAGTGAAAATACTCCATGTGATACCATAACGGTGGATACACATCCTTACACATTTGTCCAAATGCACAGAATGGAAAATACCAAGAGTGAACTGTGATGTGAACTATAGACTTTGGTGGTTATGGTTTGTAGTTTCATCAGTTGTAACAAACATGTCACTGTTTTGGGCATGTTGATAATGGGGAAGGCTATGCATAAGTGGGGGGCATACAGGAGATCTCTGTACCTTCCTCTCAATTTTGGTGTGGACCGAAAACTTCTCTCAAAGAATAAAGTCCTTTTAGAAAAGGAAAAAATCGGGGCGCCTGGGTGGCTTAGTCGGTTAAGCGTCCGACTTTCGCTCAGGTCATGATCTCGCGGTTCGTGGGTTCGAGCCCCGCGTCGGGCTCTGTGCTGACTGCCAGCTCAGAGCCTGGAGGCTGTTTCAGAGTCTGTGTCTCCCTCTCTCTCTGACCCTCCCCTGCTCACGCTGTCTCTCTCTCCCTCTCTCCTAGAAATAAATAAAAATATAAAAAAGAAAAAAGGAAAAAATTAATTTTGTCTTAGTTAAAACAAACAAACAAACAACAGCTAATGCTGCATGTACTTCATTTGAGTAGGTTTCTGATGAAGGCTGAGGATGGACGAGGGACAGAGCTATGGAAGTTACAGCAATTTCTAGAAGGTCAGGGGATCATTGGCCTATGTTACGGGACTAACTGCAAGGAACAAGGGATTTAAAAACGCATTTTAGGGGAGCCTGAGTAGCTCAGTGGGTCAAGCATTGGACTCCTGGATTCGGCTCAAGACATGATCTCATGGTTCGTCAGTTCAAGCCCCACGTGGGGCTCTGTGCTGGAATTCTCTCTCTCCTCCCTCTGCCCCTCCCTTGTTCACTCTCTCTGTCTCTCAAAAAAAAATAAATAAACTGAAAAAAATAAAATAATTTTAAAAATGCATTTTACAGCTTGAGTAAAAATGTCAATGACAAATAAAAGCTGATTGGCATGCTAGGCGCCTCGACTGGATGCCATGTGTCCAGCACACTCACTCGGCCTCGCAGGGAGCCCTCAGGGCCAGCACGATGTCACGTCACCAGCTGGAGGCCCACGTTCCCTTATTAACTGCCCTTCTCCAGGGGTGCTAGAGGGGTCTGTGCCCCGAGTTGATCATTTTCAAAGTTTTCTCTATAAAAGACGAAGTCATTTCAGAAAATAAGATTTTTGAAATATTAGAGGGGCACAGAGGAAGCGGCTCAGATGGATTTTCCAGGCACCCAAATTCCTCCCTGGTTTTTAATGCAACAATTATACTTAGAAAACTAAGTGGGCCCTGGGGAAACCACTGAGAATTTGAACGGGGCAAGGAGATAAAGGCACTTTATTTTGGCCATAGAAGCACATTGATAGGGGCGCCTGGGTATCTTAGTTGGTTAAGTGTCCGACTCTTGATTTTGGCTCAGGTCATGATCTCATGTTTGTGAGAACAAGCCCCACGTCAGGCTCTGGGCTGATAGCATGGAGCCTGCTTGGAATTTTCTCTTCCACTCTCTCTGCCCTTCCCCTGCTCTCTCTCTCTCAAAATAAATAAATAAATTTAAAGACAAAAAGCATGTTTATAAAAGAATACAAAGGAGGAAGGAGTTACCATGTGTGGCTAGGTAGAGGTGAAAAGCCCACCACATCTGATATTTCTTTGGACTGACTTCTTTTGACAGCAGACTTTAGAGATTCAAAAATCCCTCCTCCTAGAACCAACCCATATTCTAAGTCTGTGCCATCCAAGAGCACCTGGGGTGGCTCAGTCTGTTAAACATCCAATTTGGCTCAGGTCATGATCTTGCGTTCCGTGGGTTCAAGTCCCACGTCGGGCTCTGTGCTGACAGCTTGGAGCCTGGAGCTGCTTCGGATTCTGTGTCTCCCTCTCTCTGCCCTCTTGCCCGATCATACTTGCTCTTTCTCTCAAAAATAAATAAACATTAAAAAAAATTTTAAATCTGTGTTGTCCAATATGGTAGCCACTTAGCACAGGTGGCTATGGAAGTTTAAATGAATGACACACACAGCCTGTTCCTCATGTGCCCTGACCACATCGCAAGTGCTCGCCAGCTCACAGGCTGGCGGCTCCTGAACTGGGTAGTGCCGATTGGACCACTTCCATCTCTGTAGAAAGTTCCTCTGGACGGTGCTGCTCTAAATCCGACAATCAGTGCTAAGACATGGGACAAAGGGCACAAATTCCGGGAGATTGGGGCCCTTGCCTTACTGGTCATGACCTAGAGGCATGAATGCATGTTGTAAAATAAATGAATAAGCGAGTATGTGAAAGGCCCAAAATTATGAGATCCAAGGTGAGGAAACACCCCCTCTGCTGGCTTCCTACGGTCCATCTCCCAGCCTGTACTTCCATCGAGAAGCTGTTTTTGCCAACATGCTTCCAAATAGCAGAACACTGGCAACAAGTCATGACCTCCGAGGTCTGTTCCATTTTAGTGACTTTGACAAAATGCAATACGGGCTTTGACTTTTAGTATAGAGTAAAATTTAATCTAGCCTAAAGTTTTATTTATTTATATCTTATTTTATTTTATTGATTTTATTGAGAGAAAGCACAAATGGGAGATGGGCAGAGGGAAAAAGAATCTCAAGCAGGCTCCACACCCAGTGCGGAACCTGATGCGGGGTTTGATCCCACGATCCTGGGATCATGATCTGAACCCAAATCAAGAGTCAGACGCTCGACCTACGAAGCCACCCGGATGCCTTTAGCCTAAAGCTTAATACAGGAGAAAAAAAATCTTTTTAGAAGGCCTCAAAAAATATTACTTTCAAAACTAAGATTAAACTTTGTGAATTTCCTATCAAATAAGGGAATTTAAAATTCCGCTGGTTCCTACTGTGCGCATGGAAGGACCAGGTGGGTGGTCTTCACGATTTTAGAATGACGCGTACCTAACGAAGGCACGGCCCCAGTGGGTCACCACAGTAATCGTCCTTGCCCTCACTGCAGTGTTTCCCATCACAGCCTACTTTGCATGGATGCTGGCCTGTAAGCTGTGAGAACAGTCATGGCTGAGGAATTGACAAGCTTTACAATCTAAAAAAAATAATGCATTTTAATACAAAACACTTCTCCCTCCAGTGATTTAGAACATACAGCTGCGCGAAGGCCAAGGCAGGATGACGGTTCCCACGGCCAGCAGCCACCTCGACAACGCCGAGGATCAGGAGCTAATGTGTTTTGGCTCAGGGCCCCCCCGAATACACCGCCTGCCTCCAGCTGTTCAAGGCCAGGTGGCCCCACGCTGGGAAATATACACAGATGTAAATGAAAACAAAACACAAAATGGGAAGCGGGCTGCATTCTTTTCCTTTACAGTGTTATGGGAGTTCACTCCGAACACCGAGAGGCCACAGACCTGGACTGACATTCATCAATCATTTTGGCAAATCATGATTCCATTATGGAATGTGCGATGGGGTTTCTCCCAGTTGGGCTTCTGGTTTGCTCAACAAAACTTTTTTTTTTTTTTTTTTTTTTTTGGCAGTTGAGGCTTAATCATTTAATGACAGTTATTAACTGCATTTTGGGGAGAGGTCTGATCTTTTGTGCATCCTCCCAACTGGATCCTTGACCAGCTGTTCTGAAAATGGAGGAGGTTAGAAAATTGACCAGAGAAAAATACAGAAGCAAATCATTATTGTCACGGTCCTAGGTTATTCTTGACCAAATACATCTGCTTAAACAACTCCGTAAGTTGCTGGATTTATAAAATGGCTGCGTCTCCCAAGCCTCTACCCATCTTTGGAGTTCGATGAGCTTCTGCTCAAATATAAGGAGTTATGGGGAGCCTGCTGTCCTGAGTCATTCCTCGGGTTGCTCTTAACTGCTGGACGATGATTTCTTACACGGATGCAGAATCTGTTCCTTCGTAACTTGTTCCCATTTTTCAGTGTCCTGTCTTTTGGAGTTGTACAAAACAAGCAATCCCCCTTCACTCTTATAGTCCTTCTCTTGACTAGAGATGGCCATTCTCAATTTGCATTTGCTTCTTTTCCTCGGGCCGACTACCCCTAAGTCCTTCGGGCCGTCATCACAGAACAGCAAAGGTTCCATCTGCTCTTCCTGGGTGTCTTCCTGTGGCCACGTGCTACTCCATACGGCAATATGTTGTTTAAAACGGGTTCTCAGAGAGAACAGCAATGCTCCTACAGCTGTCTGACCTGCACAGGGGACAGTGGGATGATGACTGCCTTGAACGTGGACCTGGCACTCCTGATACTCCAGCCTGAATGGACAGGTCTCTTTGGCAGTCCGGCCACACTGCTGGCTCAGAGTGAAAATCCCCAGATGCTTTTCAGGCAAGCTGGTGCCAAATGATTACTCCCACCCCGTATTTATGCAATGGATTTAAAAACCCAATTGCGAAACTTTACTTTTACCCTGATAACGTTTCATCTTTTTTCCAGCCAACGGGACAGCCTGTCAGGATAGCTTGTCTCTTGTTCTGTCTTTATCACAAAGTGTACACTTTGCATATCTGCAAATCTGATAATATTTGATAACATGTTTCTCCAACTCCATCTAAATTGTTGATAAAAATATTGGATGGCACATTTGGATCTCTCTGTAATAAAGCACTAGGGATGCTTTACTGGCCGACATAAAGACACGTATCGGTGGTTGTTGAAACAGCTGGAAATCTAAATATCCACCTAAATATCCAATCTAAATATCTCTTCTATACTCCATTGAAGGTGTTCCCTGACTTTAAAGAGCAACCCTCTGGGGAGCCTGGGTGGCTCAGTTGGTTAAGCGTCCAATCTGGGCTCAGGTCATGATCTCGCGGTATGTGGGTTCGAGTCTTGCATAGGGCTCTTTGTTGACAGTTCAGAGCCTGGAGCCTGCTTTGGATTCTGTGTCTCCCTTTCTCTCTGCCCCTCCCCTGCTCACACTCCATCTCTCTCTCTCTTCTCAAAAATAAACATGAAAAAAATTTAAAGAGAAACTTTCCCCAGGGAATCCCCAATGGACCAGAAAATCCCAAATACAACTCTGGTTAAGCCAATGCCATCTGACTTGCAGCTTAGGCTTCCCTTAGCCTCCATGGCTGAACTGTGGTCTTTGTTGAGTGCTGCTTCAAATATACTTTCTAAAAGGTCTAAGAAGCATGCCAGACAGTGATGTCATAAACACTGGGAGTTCCTCTTGAGTTAGGAGGCCAAGAAGTCATGGGGAGGTCTACCATTTTGTTTCAGGACTAGTGGCTGCAGGTGTGAGGAGTGGAGGGGGATACAAGACAGGTGTGATCATCTAGGACTCAGATTCTGCTCTCCAGTGAAAGGAACCTGCGCTCCCTAAAGAAATGGCTGATTCTAGGATGGGGGAATACATCAGATGAGCTTAGAGTATCTTGCTGTGCAGAAAGTGATGAAAAAACCCAAACCCAACAACAATGGGATAAGTCAAAGGGATGCAGAAACCAAATGTAAGAGCTCCCAATGACCAAAGCTGGAGTAAGTTGAAGAGCAAACTGAAGCAGTAGCAGATTGTGACTTGAAGTGTAATATAAATACCCATGACTCCATATGAATATTAAAAAATAATAAATGAAGAAATGGGGGACGGCAGATAGATCTCCAGTACAGAAGGATTCCAAATAATTTATGGAGACACTCTGCCCTCAAGGAAGGAGTATAAAACCCCCCACCTCTCAAGCATGGGTTGGACAGGGGGACTTTCTTCCAAAGAGCATAACGGAAAGAAGGAAAAAGAGTAACTGTCAGTGGAGAAACATGACAAACACTACTTCAGCCAGGTGACCGAGATTTGTGTGGACAGTGATAAGATGTGCACATGGTGTAGAGCCCTGATGTGATGTGATGAGCGTCTCACTTTCCCTGTGTGGTCCTCATCCTCAAACCCATAATCCAAGTCTAAATCATGAGAAAAACACCAGCTAAATCTAAATAGAGGGACATTTTACAAAATCCTCCTCAAAATTATTAAGCTCTTCAAAAATAAGGAGGGTCCGAGAAACGTCACGACGAAGAGGAGCTAAGCCTACACAATGACGAAGTTTGTGTGATGTTCTCGATGGAGTCTTGGAACAGATAAAGGACATTACGTCTAAAACTCAGGAAGCCTGAATCAATTACGGACATTAGTTGACGATAATGTATCAATATTGGTTCATTCATTGTGACAAATCTACCATACTTATAAGATGTTAAACCTGATTTCCTTAGAGGAAATCTCGTGTGGGGCACATCTTCTCTGTACTATCTTCACAGATTTTCTGTAAATCTATTTAAAATAAAGAATTTATTAAGGGAAAAAAGGGCACAGTGAGTGTGTGGGTGTGAGTTGTGGGAGCAGGAGGGTTGTAGAAAAAGATGAAGAAGAGAAAGCAAAGCACATCCTGTATATGAGAACTGTCTTCAAAAGTTTACTTGCATTAGATTTGGCCTTTGAATAAGTTGAATAGTAGAGCTGAAATTGGAGGTGAGCCAATTTTTATTAGTTGGGAAAACTCCAGTTTCTTAAATTACTATTTTGATTTCAAGTAGACCCTGGTTCCTATATTGTGGATTCACTCTAAATTTCTTTCATTGTTTCATCCTTCCCTTCAATCTCTATTAATATGAAAAGTATTTCAAAGAATGTATTTATTAAGCCCCAAACCCTAATCATGACATGAATAGTTTTTTTTTCCATAAATAGATAATGTCATATTAATTTTAAACATTCTATGCTGGAGGGGGGTCTGGATGGCTCAGTCAGTTGGGTGTCAAACCCAGGTCATGGTCTCATGGTTTGTGAATTTGAGCCCCACATTGGGTTCTGTGCTGATAGCAGAATTTGCTTGGGATTCTCTCCCTCCTTCTCTCTCTCTCTGCCCGTCCTCCGCCTGATATCTCTCTTTCTCTCTCTCTTTCTCTCTTACTAAATTAATAAACGTAAAAAATTGTATGCTCGTTGTTTTATTTTATTTTATTATTTTTTTAATGTTTTTTTTTTATTTCTAGGAGAGAGAGAGAGAGAGAGAGAGAGAGAGAGAGACAGCGTGAGCAGGGGAGGGTCAGAGAGAGAGGGAGTCACAGACTCTGAAACAGGCTCCAGGCTCTGAGCTGGCAGTCAGCACAGAGCCGGACGCGGGGCTCGAACCCACGAACCGTGAGATCATGACCTGAGCGAAAGTCGGACGCTTAACCGACTAAGCCACCCAGGCGCCCCAACTCATTGTTTTATTGACTGAAGATCACATGTGCAGGTAAGAAGCATTAATTGTATATTAAGCAATGTGGGTTTGCTCCCAGTGTGTTGCTCTGCATTCTTTAGGAACAATTGATGCTGGTCTGGTAAATAACGAGGACATCTTCTCTTACCCATACATAAAACAATTGGTGAACTGTAGGAATGACAGCTCAGTTATTTTTTAATTATTATTATTTTTTAATTTTATGGAGAGAGAAAGAGCATGAGTGGGGGAGAGGGGCAGAGGGAGAGAGAAAGAGAATCATAAGCAAACTCCAGGCTCAGTGCAGAGCCTGATGTGGGGCTGGATCCCATGACCCTGGGATCACGACCTGTGGCAACACCAAGAGTCAGACGCTCAACTGACTGAGCCCGCCAGGCGTGCCGACAGCTTAATTGTTGAAAGTGGAGCTGTGCATCCTGGAAGTACCTGTTGGTTTTCATCCTGATAAAGAATTCTGATCAATAATCAATCTCCTAGAGCTTCCCTAGGATCGTACGTGTGAAAGAGGGAAAGAGAGGGTTGTCTGTGTTTCGCTGTGTGTGGATTCCGACTTCCCCAGTCAGAGGGGCCTGGAGAAAACCGAAGGAGGCAAAGCCTAACCTTGAGATGCTCCTTCTCTTTTTTGGTCCTTTTCATTCCTTGGTAAGTGCAGACTCTCTCCCCATAGAGGCCAGTCCAGTCTAAAAACACTAATTAGCAACAATACATAAAGAAAGCATTATTTACAAGTTTGGAAACCACGTCTCCTCATCACTTCCCACTCCCGGTAAGCTCTTGCCCGGTCACAGTGGCCACCGTGGGAGGGCCGGGGGTCACAGTCGCATGGCTGCCATCCTCTGCCAGGGACCAGGTTCCAGGATCTGTCAGCACAACTGGCCGGTGGCTTGGGGGGACAAGGCCATGTGCCAGGGTCCTGGAGGCAAGCTCCCTGACCAGGGGACTCTCAGCAGGAGTCACACCAGAAGGATGACAGGAACATCCTGGGACAACAGAGCCGCTGCCAGAGGTAAATTCGGCAATAACACAGCATTCAACAAGCCGCACAATCAGCTTTCCAGATCTGGACGTATCATTCCTCCAAAGGGCTCAAGGAAGAAACATCTTACAATATTTCAGATTTATCAAAGAATCTAAGTGAGCTGAATCCATTCAATTCTCTTTGATCTCCACAAATAGCAATTTCATGGGGTCCAGCCAACTGTGCTCTTTTTAAAAATTTTTTTTTCATTGTTTATTTTTGAGAGAGAGAGAGAGACAGAGCATGAGCAGGGGAGGGGCAGAGAGAGGGAGACACAGAATCTGAAGCAGGCTCCAGGCTCTGAGCTGTCAGCACAGAGCTCAATGCGGGGCCCAAACCCATGAGCCGTGAGATCATGACCTGAGCCCAAGTCGGATGCTCAACCAACTGAGCCACCCAGGCGCCCCCCAGGCAACTGTATTCTAAGAGCTCACAATTAGGATGACTGAAAACCTTGCTTTTTTCCTCATGCTATTCATTATCCGAAAATAAACAGTATATTAAATTGACTTGGGTCAACTGAAATAGTTGATAAAAACAAGCATTTTATCCCCTTAATTTTTTTTTCATGTTTATTTTTGAGAGAGAGAGTGAGCGAGCGAGCTAGCAAGCAAGCATAACCAGGGGCAGAGCGAGAGGGAGACACAGATTCGGAAGCAGGCTCCAGGCTCTGAGCTGTCAGCACAGAGCCCGAAGCGGGGCTCGAACCCACGAACTGTGAGATCATGACCTGAGCCGAAGTCAGAGGCTTAACCGGCTGAGCCACACAGGTCCCCCCCCTCCTTTTTTTTTTTTTTTTAATCCCAGAATCAAATCCTTGCCCTCTTCTACATCAGTGATTCTTGAATTTACACATTAAAGACACGGGATGAACTGGTTCCAGTGTAGGTTCCTGGAGATTCAATTCAGTGGATCTGAGGTACAGTCTAGGAATCTGCTTGTTCATATCCCTCCCCAGTCCCCGGGTGATTCTGGCACAGTGCACTGTGGGCCACACGTCACTGCCACAGCCACAGCCACACCCCCTACCCACTGCCGGAAGCCCACAGACTTACTTCTGCAGGTCTGATTGAGGGCGGATCCAAAGTGACCCGGTTTGCAGAACTGGCAGTTGGGCCCCTGAGTGTTGTGCAGACCCCTGCGGCACTCCCCTGTTACCCGGCTGCAGGACGCCGGGTCAGTCACATCGATGTTGTTATTGCAGGCACATGGCTGGCAAGGTGCTCCTGGAATTCTGGGATTTCCATAGAAACCCGCAGAGCATTCTGCACACTGCTTACCTGAAAGAAGGAGAGAGGGAAAGGGAGTAAGAGCGTGTGTGTGTGTGTGTGTGTGTGTGTGTGTGTGTGTGTGTGTATGGGAGGAAGCAGGGACGGAGATCAATATAGACAATAATGAATAATGAGGCTCTTTTAGGGATGATGGGGGGTCACACACTGGGGACGAAGAAGGAAAAATGTTCTGCATTAAAACAAAACGCTCATTTTAATTTATTATCCATTCGGAGAATAAGATGCTTGCTCAGAACTAAGACGTCCTTAGTGAAGAATGCATTCTAGTCTTTCTTCAAAAACTACAGAGCGGTAGGCACAGAGAATCCTGGATCCTCATATAATGCGGGTCAGCCGAATGTGCCTCGGGACCCAAAGCTAATCTCAGCCCCTGATCTCCCCGGGGTGCCCCGCCCTCACCTGGTCCTAGAGGTGAACTTGCGGCACCCTGGGATGCGTGTCTAGCAGTGAAGATGGGGACTGTGGTTTTCTCCATGTAATGAGCCCGGCAGCGGGGGGTCTTTATCGAGTGCTGTACAGAGAGACCACCTCTTCCCTCCTCCACTTGTTAGCCTTCAAACCCCTGGGTGCCTGTAGTCAGTTAGGTGCCTAAAGTGTGGGTCTGCTCCCCACATTTTGGTTCATCCTATTTAGGAATGCGCTTGTTGGCCGATCATTGTCTTAGTTCTTAAAAGCTGACCAACCAAGCCAGAGTGTCAGTGGAAGAGATCAGAATGATGTAGAGACACAGGAAGCAACTAAGACAAAATTAGCCATTAATTTATTATCGTGATGGTAGTTATCATTGAAGAAACAGCACCATATTTTCACAACATGATTAAATCAAGAAGCTTTTATAGGTTTTTATCCTTATTTGCATGATATACATATATAGACATATATACACTCATGCTTGAACTCTTCCAGATAAAACGTTTGGTAGAGAGACAGACACAAATGTTGAATTGACTTATACAGCATATGTGCGATACTCAAATCAATGCCTCAAGACATCTGAAAAAATAAGTTATATTTTTGAAATATCACACTGATTGGTTGGAATTATAGAAAGAAAGCATTTGATTAAAATTTTTTAATTGCTTATGTTAGATGTTGTATAAGATATACGTGTTACTTAATCAATTATGTATCTTACCTAACAAGTGATGATTTTAAAGAAATCAATTTGATTTGAATGCATTTGGTCAGTTAATTTTCCAGAACATTATTTGAAAACAGTTATAGCTCAGAGGGATGAGCTTTTAGTTGTCACTGGGTTTTGAAACATTCAAATTCTTTGTTCAGTAAAGTATCAGTGTACTAAATTGTGCCTTCTTTCTTTAGAGAGAAAGAGAGCAATAGAGTGCAGAGGGAGTGGGAGGGGCAGAGAGAGAGTGAGAGAGATAGAGAGATAGATAGAAAGAGCGAGCGAACGAGCGAGCGAAAGAGCAAGAGAGAGAAATCCCAGGCTGACACCACACTGAGCAGGGAGCTGGATTCCGGGCTCAATCCCATGAGGTCCTGACCTGAGCTGAAATCAAGGGTCAGATGTTCAATCAACTAAGCCGCCCAGGTGCCCTCCAGATCGTGTCTTCTTACTATTAACTTAAATTCTGTACCTCTCAATCGTTCAAGGCCGATACATTATGAGCGTGGGATCATGTTCTGAGACAGCAGCATGGGCTGCAAGGAAAGAGCCACCATGAGCTACACTGTGTACCTGCATAACCTTGAAGGCAATTGCAGATCACATCCGAGCTCCAAGCATCCCGATAACAGGCATGGGCAAAATACCGATTACTCGAGGGAACATCCGGGCAGGGACAAGGACAGCAGGGCTGTCCTGAAGGAGGGTCTCCATAGTAACCATCGATGCACCTGGCGAGACAATTTCTTTTTACCAAACGTGGGCAGGGAAAGCTCACATTAGCCGATGTGGATTTGCTGTGCTTGAGGACAGTGCAACCCTCAAAACTGAACACTTTAGAAGACGCTCGCTTGCTATGAAGCCCTTTTTCAATTTATAGTTTAAGTCCCGAGGTATCATCGTTAAACTCTAGACAGCAGCAGTTAACTTACGTGTCTTATTTCAGGGACCTAAAGAGCAAGGTGTCAAGCCAATGCCCAGCTCTGATCTACTCAGACACCGACTGCCTCCTAACAGAACTCTGACGGACACCAGGCTTGACACTCTGTCTGCCGCCTCCCCACCCAGAGATCATTCTACACTTAAACACGATGGAGCCTCTACTCGGTAGTTCTGCAGAGAGTGCAGGGAGGCCGGGGCGAAAAGAACTACAATACAAATCAAAGCGCATCTGAACCCCGTACCTTTCACAGTTTCTTCCAGTTGTAAAACCCCCACAACGGAAGCATGACCCTGTCTCTGGATCACAAAGTTCAGCAAAACCGTTACAAAGGCAAGGGCGGCAGCTGGGAAATCCAAAGTAGCCAGCCGGGCACCGATCACAACGGAGGCCGGCCACCTCCCCCTGGCAGGCGCACTGGCCCCTTATGTGGTCACGTACGCTGCTCTTTGAGCCTTGAGGGTGGCAGTGACATGCTAGATAAAAGAAGAGAACATGCTGGGGGGGGGGGGCACGCGGTGTGCTGGCAGAACCAAGTCTAGTCCTGATTTGTCATCCTGAACTTACTGTAACGTCCCAATCAGGTAGATAAAGCGCATCTGAAAACCTGGCATCCACCGGGAACCAGATCGATGTTTCTTAAACAATTCACTGATTTACTCAATGAACTAGGTACTGTGAGCAACTGGGTCTCATCAGCGCTGTTTATACAGAGGATCTGAACAAGGAATGTGCTTTTTTTTAATGTTTTTAATGTTTATTTATTTCTTTTTGAGAGAGAGACGATGGAGACAGAGAGTTCCAAGTAGGCTCTGCCCTGTCAGCACAGAGCCCAACGTGGGGCTCAAACCCATGAACCTGGAGATCATGACAGGAGCCGAAATCAAGAATTGGATGCTTAAGGGGCACCTGGGTGGCTCAGTGGGTTAAGTGTCCGACTTAGGCTCAGGTCATGATCTCACGGTTCGTGGGTTCGAGCCCCGCGTCGGGCTCTGTGCTGACAGCTCGCAGCCTGGAGCCTGTTTTGGATTCTGTGTCTCCCCCTCTCTCTGACCCTCCCCTGCTCACACTCTCTCTGTCTCTCAGAAATAAATAAAAAAAAAATGAAAAAAAAAAAGAGAAAAGGACTGGATGCTTAAGTCACTGAGCCACCCAGGCGCCCCAACAAGTAACATGTTTTTATTTTTTTTATTTTTTTATTTTTTTATTTTTATTTTATTTCTAGGATAGAGAGAGACAGCGTGAACAGGAGAGGGTCAGAGAGAGAGGGAGACACAGACTCTGAAACAGGCTCCAGGCTCTGAGCTGGCAGTCAGCACAGAGCCAGACGCGGGGCTCGAACCCACGAACCGTGAGATCGTGACCTAAGCGAAAGTCGGACGCTTAACCGACTAAGCCACCCAGGCGCCCCACAAGTAACATGTTTTTAATTACTTGAGTTTCCATTTCTCATGAGAGTCAAAACTTCAAGATTATAAAGAATAAAAGAAACCTTTCTCAAGGTGGTTGGATTTTTCTTTTTCCTACATGAGGTCACCGAGGCTCAATCCTTTTCTGACAAATGGGATCCTTTGAGCCAATCTTCCCTAATACAAAGATGTGATGTGGGAGACACGTTTGCTCCTCTGTGTATATCCCTTTGTGTATCGCAAGCATTTTTCTTTTCTTTTCTTTTTAAGAAAGGGGGAGTGAGTAATAATGGACCTAAGTCCTGGGTGCTGAGTAGACAATCACAGGTGTGCTGCCTTTCTCAATCATGACTGCAAAGCTATGCTCTTTTATCGGAAAGAATTAACCTACTTGGAGATTTTCATGGTTCCTAAGACAGGTTTCTGTGGGGAACAGTCTCCTCACTAACGGCTTATAGCACGAGCAGAGAACTACGTACCCTGAGCCTGACGGCCATGAGAACGTGTCACCACGTATGGACAGAGACCCATCCAAGCCCTGATTAATGGGGAGCTTCTAGAAGGAGTTCCATGGCTGTCTGTGACCCCAGCAGCACAGCGGGTAACATCCAGGTGACCCGGCCAGCCTCTGGGCTTCTGTGCCAGGTCATAAAGCGGGGTCGGCACGGTCAGCTCCTTTCCCGGGGCTCCCACACCCTCCCTAGACTGGGAGAAGCATAGGCCATGTTTTTGTCATCACTCACGGCTCCTGATGGAGCTCCGTACACGTTGGCACCCACCGAACGGAGGAACGAAATGCGATGGAAAAGTTTTCCATACACTTGATCTACACAGACAGCCTGAGTCATGTGGTCAAATTCCCAATCTCTACCCCTCTTTTCAGTTCCCACCCTGAGTTTCCTGCCTTCAAAACTCCAAGGCTGTGCCCGTGCCCGTCCGCCCCGCGTTGTTATTTTGCTACGTACGGAGGCAGCCATGACGCCCTAAACCGTGGCTTCCTGGCAGGCACCGGTCACAGCAGCGCCCGGCCACGTGGGGCTTGCACTGGCACTGGCCCCCAAGTCGGCTGCAGCTGGGCCCCACCGAGCCCTGAGGGTGACACTTGCAGGCTGTGGGGAGACAGAGGACAATCAGAGGCACAGGAAGCGACAGAGGGGCACCTGGTCCTGCTGGGCTTCAGTTCACCTTGATTCGGCACTTCTCTAATCCTTAGCTCCCTCATCTGTTAAATGGGGAGAACACAGGATCTACCCCAGGGGGTTAGAAGGACTGAAGACCGTAATGCCTGTGAAGTCTTTAGGACTGTGTGGCGTGTAGTAAGTGCTCAACAAACATTAGGTAATAAACAGATCTTAACAATAAATGCTACTTAGTAAGTTAGTGACAGGCTTAAAATTAGTTGTAATAATTAATAGTCCCAATATAATTATTATTATTATGATTACTTCAATTTCTGCTGATCCATGTTGGCGTGGGGCTATATGTTTGATTTCCCTCATTCTATGTGTTTCATGGGATGGTGGGCATCCTGAAGGCAGGGAAAACCATTTGCCCAGAATTCAGGAACCCCAGGCTTTCACTGCAGCTGTCACTCTATACCAGTGGTTCTCAACTGGGGGGAAGACTTCATCCCCCTAGGGAATATACGACAGAGTCTGAAGACTTTTTTGAATGCCCCACCTGGGGAAGGTTCGGCCGTATCAGGTGAGTCGCGGGTAGGAATGCCGCTAAACTTCCCATAATGCCCAGAACAGCCCTCCATGCCGATCCTCCTCCACAACAAAGCATTATCCAGCCCCAAATTTCAAAAGTGCTAAGGGTGAGAAATACTGCTCTATAACTTAGCAAAATGGACAAGTTACCTAGTGTTTTTAGACCCCAATAGTCTTGTTTATTAAATGAAGGTTTAGGGGCACCTGGGTGGCTCAGTCGATTAAGTGTCCAACTTCGGCTCAGGTCATGATCTTGTGGTTCATGGGTTCAAGCCCCGGGTTGGGTTCTGTGCTGGCAGCTCGGAGCCTGGAGCCTGTTTCGGATTCTGTGTCTCCCTCTCTTTCTGCCCCTCCCCCACTCATGTTCTGTCTCTGTATTGAAAAGAAATAAACTATAAAAACATTTTTTAAATAATAAAATAAATGGTTTAATAAAGGCTGAAGGATGAAAGAGGTTGTTTCGAGTTCATTCCAACCCTAAAATTCCAGGATTCCGAATAATTGTCCAGTAATATAGCATCCCAACACTCCTACAAGGCTCCTGTTAAATTTTTATTAATTTTAATTTTTTTAAATGTTCTTATTTTTGAGAGACAGAGAGTGAGCAGGAGAGGAGCAGAGAGAGAGGGGGAGGCACAAAATGCAAAGCAGGCTCCAGGCTCTGAGCTGTCAGCACAGAGCCCGACACAGGGCTTGAACTCATGAGCCATGAGATCATGACCTGAGCCAAAGTCAGATGCTTAACCAACTGAGCCACCCAAGTGCTCCTAATTTTTATTTTTTTAAATGTTTGTTTTTATTTATTTTGAGAGCAAGGGGAGAGAGAGAATGCGAGTGGGGGAGTGGCAGAGGGAGAGGGAGAGAATCCTAAGCAGGCTCTGCGCTGTCGGTGCAGAGCCCGATGCGGGGTTTGATCTCACAAACCGTGAGATCATGACCTGAGCTGCAATTAAGAGTCAGACGCTTAACCAACTGAATCACCCAAGGGGCCCTGCAAGGCTCCTTTCTTGTACCCTCACTATACTGTGCCCTGTGATTCCAACACAGCAAGAGACTGCTCTGTATATCTAATCATTGGGCAATTGGTATTGACATCGATTGCTCAGACTAGGTGCTAAAATAAATTAAATCAATTCACTCATGTTCAGAAAAGCAGTGCATCAGGAAAGTCCATTAAGCCAATACTCACCTATTGCCCCATTGTGTAGCCTGGCAGCCATGCTGGCTATAAGCCTTTCACACGCACCAGGGAGCCCCTGGGGTCCTGTTTGCAAGGCAATGTCAACACAGTTGTGCAGCTGGTACTCATCTAAGTCCTGCTTGCTGCAGAAATTCTCCAGGGAATCGATCTGGGGAATCAGACAAGGCTTTGGAAGTAATACGAAAAGAAAACGTACAATCACAATGGTCTCCCGTCCAAGATTCTAGTCATAAAAACAATTTGATCTATGAGAAGATGCTTACAACTGAAGATCTGAAGATTTTCACTTTATTTAAGAAATCTTTAAATGTGCACATTTGTTGACTTAGGACAAAGCAAATAAGACTTTTTTTTTTTTTTTTTTAAAAAAACCATCCTTAATGTATTTTTAGTTTGCTAATACATTTGTCTTAGATTTCAGAGAGTCTTAACTAGGCTACTTGTGATAAATTCAGACATTATGGCTTAGCGCATTCCCTAGTGTTACAGGGGAAGTCTAATTCCGCAACACTCTCCTTTTAAAGTTTTGTTCTTTTCAATTACGTACGAACAGTGGCATTCTACGTCAGGCCCTCTGCCTCTTCGACAGTCACAGTGTAGATGAAGACGCTAATGCTCTGAGAAGTCCTACAAGAAAGCTACTTTTAAACTCTGTGTCTCCATACTTATTTAACCACTTGCTCCTATATTCAAATAACACTAACATCCCATACGCCCAATTCCTCACAGACGCATTTTGTGACTTGCTGGCTTAGATCATACAAATGGATTGTTCTAAGCTTATTCTCAAAAATGGATCATCTATAGTTTGATACCCATGTGAATAAAAGCCATACAGTTATATTTCTTGAGAAGATTTTATCTAAGTTATAACTTATTACCATTAAAATTCCTTTAAAGTTTATTTATTATTTAGAGAGAGAGCACGTGCAAGTAGGGAAGGGGTGGAGAGGGAGACGGAGAGAATCCCAGGTGGGCTCTGTGCTGACAGCAGTGAGCCCGATGCGGGACTCGAACTCACAAACTACGAGATCATGACCCGAGCTGAAGCAGGACGCTTAACCCACCGAGCCACCTGGGCACCCCTAAAATGTTCTTGAGTGGCTTGGATGATGCAGAGGAGAACTCGTTGGTCCAGCGGAACTGATCACAACAGTCTGGTCGTTCTGAACAAGTGGAAGAAAGAGCAGCATTGCCATTGGGGCTGATTCAGCAGGTCAGGTTCAAAGAGTGAGCCGGGCGTCTGCCCTGGCCTTCCGCCTTTGTCCGTTCCGAACCTCTTTCCCATGATCCTTGACTTCAGCCTTCTTTCAACAGCTCTGCCCACCCCCAGTCGTCGACACACCAGCAGCGGAATCTCAACCCCGATGCCTCTTTCAGTGTCTCCACTCCGCAAACCTCTACCCTCACCCCCCCTGCACTTCCTCTGCCTCCTCTTGCTTCACTGAGAAAATAGAGCCCCCAACTTCCTGCCTCTCAAGCTCCCTGCTCACAGGTACCACCCCCCCCCCCCCCCCCGGCCCCCCCCCCCCCCCCCCCGCCATCCCTGGCTCAGCACTTATGAAGAAGTGTTCCAGGGGAAGAGGTGTCCACCGCTACACCCTCTGCCTTAGGGAAACTTCTCTGTGGGTTATGCTTTGTTTAAGCTCTTGCTTCAACCGGCATTTAAATGTGCCTAAATCTCTCCCATCTATAAAGTCTATTTCTCTTGCCACTGCCCACCATCTCTGCCCTTTGACTAATTCCTTGATAGCCAAATTTCTTGAAACATTGTTTCCTGACCACCCTCACTGCCTCTTCTCCCGCTTACTCTTCAGGCCAATGCAGCACCTCTTCTCCCACCCATCCTTAACTGTTGGGACCCTCAGGTTCTCTCACTCCACACCCCCTTCCAAGGTGGCCTTGACAATGGTGTCACTTCAGTTACCATCAATACGTTGTTGACGTCTGGATCTATCTAGATCTCTTGCCCACATCTCAGTTAATGCGTTCCAGATCTGCACAGAGAAGCTTACTGCTTGTCCCACAGGTACCGCAAACCAACACACCCGAAACTCACTTTCCTTTCTGTGCCTATTGGTAGGAAATAACGCCACCATCTGCCGATATACTTGGTGTAGAAAACTGAAGGTCATCTTTTCTTTCTTAAGTTTATTTATTTATTTTGAGAGTAAAAGAGAACACAAATGGGGGATGGGTAGAGAGACACAGAGAGAGAGAGAGAGAGAGAGAGAGAGAGAGAATCCCAAGCAGGCTCCTTGCTATTAGCACAGTGAGATCATGACCCGAGCCAAAATCAAGAGTCAGACGTTCAACTGACTGAGCCACATAGGCACCTCAAGAAGGTTATCTTTGATACTTGCCTCTTGGTCATCAACACTCCCCACCCACCCCACGCCCCCCTAACATCGAGTTGATCACAGGCTTGGTCCATCTAGCCTCTTAAATGTGTCTAGGATGCATTAAATGTGTCTTAGTTCCCCCATCGCTACTCTAATTGAGGGCATCTGGGTCACCATGGTGGAAGCCCAACAGAAGTCCCATCTTCTGCTCTTACCCCTTTCCCCCACCAATTTCCTACTCTGTAGTCACGCTGATTCCTTAAAAGGCAGTTTGTTCAGATAACCTCTCCTTAAAACCTTCAGTGACTTCCTATTGCCTCAGGGTAAAATCTAAATTTCTTCTCTTTTCATTCTGTCAGTCCCCTAACGTCTTGGCTCAGTGGTTCTCAGAATGGGAGGTGCTACCCCCTAAGGGGCATTTCGGAAATTCCAGGGGTGGTTTTCGTTGTCATGGCCATTGGAATGGGGTGTGTTAATTGGCTTTTAGTGGGTGGGGATTGGAAATCCCATACATATTGACAAAAAAGAAAATCATCCCATGTCTCCTACAGCTTTTGAATGTTTTACCAAGATCCATGAGGGAGAAATCCTTATTCATAAGTTGAAAGACCTGCTCTATGTTTTAAAAAACATGTTACACATGTTGTAACACATGTAACGCAAGTAACCTGCTTTCACACCTGGCTCACATAGAGTGATTCTACCCATACAAGTGTGGCCATGCCTCATTATGTCTTCTGCGTATTCATGCTTGTGCAGATACATATTGAAATACCTAATGTTTCTCTATAAATTACTCTCCTTTTATGTCTCTTTGTATTTGCACATCACATTGATATTATTTGGAAAGTGTAGGCTATAGGGCCTATGAATTGCATTTCAAATTGGTAGAGTGTTACAAAATAATCATAATAAAATACGAATGGGTTGGGGAAGGGCGCCTGGGTGGCTCCGTCAGTTATGCGTCTGACTCTTGATTTCAGTTCTGGTCATGATCTCACCGTTTGTGAGATGGAGCCCCACGTCAAGCTCTGTGCTGACAGCACAGCGCCTGCATGGGATTCTCTCTCCCCCCTCTCTCTCTGCCTCTTCCCAATTTGAGCTCTCTCTCTAAAAATAAATAAACTTAAAAAAAAAAAAAAACACGAGAGGAGGCTGGGCCAGGTGATGTTGAGAATCACTGCTGGAGCCACAATGAGCTTTTCAGTTCAGTGACCCGTTGTGGCTCTTAGTAGCTCTCCTACCGCATGGTCATTTCCCATATGATTGTCTGCCTCTCTCCTTTAGGGAGTGACTCCCCACATGTCGGGATAGGTGCTTGTCTTGGTCACACCTGTGCCTACCATCGTGTCTAATTTACAGGAAATAGTTCACAAATATTTGCTCAGTAAAGAAGGACATAGACGTGACTAGTGTGGTATCTTCAAGTGGATACTAAAATGACTACATTCTCCAAACACAAACCAAGAGAAAAGACATGCAGAAAGAAACCAGATAGGCTAGGATTGGGGATGAGGGCAGCCACCTGGGGACTAATTACCTATAGTTCTTTGTCGCAGGCAGTTTAGACGAGGCCATACCTGACACCAAGCAGATGGACCAGATGGTAAGAGTCCCCGTCAAGCTATAGGATTTTGCAATGTCGTGACTCTCTTCTTCTCCTAGAAACATCTCAAGACTTTGTTGACCAAGTCAACCAGATCCTGAGGAGTATCTTGGTTCTTATCAATTTGAATTTCATGGTTACTATTATAATAATATAATCCCTTTGTGATTTAGGAATTCCGTAATGTCTTCCTTTCCCTTTCTTTAATCTGCCTGGTTCCCAACTTTTAGCTTCTTTCCCCCTAAATTAAATCTGTTGGGTTTGATTTTCTTCCTTTATGACTCCTTGGTGGCCCATGCGTGCAGTTCTATTTAAAGCTCCTTGGGAGAGAATATGACTTACACGGAGAGGGAAGTCAGGAGAATTTAAGTCCTCATTCAAGAGTTTGTTTCAACTTTCCTCTTCCTTTCTACCATAACAGGCCAGAACCTCACAGCAATCTCACACGGCCCTCCAGGTGAAGGACTTAGAGCATCTTTGGTGAAGGTCACCAGATTAAATAGAAATCACCCAGTTGGAATTGAATTTCAGAGAAACAATGAATATTTTTTAGTATGTCTCACATAGTATTTGAAGGCAATATTTGGGACATATTTATTCAATTTTCAACTCTAGCGGGGGGCCCTGTGTTCTCTCTCCTTCTCCCTCTCACCACCCCTTCCTCCCTCCTCCTTCTCTTCCCTTCTCTTCCTCTTTCCTTCCTTCCTTCCTTTTTCCTTTTTGCTAAATCTTGCAATCCTACATCTGGTAAGATAATCTTACACAATTTTTTTTGATATTACAATACCTCCTGAAGTCACTGAATAGAATTCAAGATACACCTGTCTCATTCTGAATTCCATGGTAGATGACAAAGTAGCGAAGTTCCAGGGTATAAATTTAAAATGTCTGATGGTAAGAAATTGAACATTGAAAACACAATTCATGAAATATGGACATACAGCTAATTAAATCAGAGGTCGTTACGCTTCCTGTAAAACGCTAGACAGTAAATATTTTTGGCTTTGTGGCCCTTGAGTTCTCTGTGACAAGTACTCCACTCTGCCTCTGTGACTTAAAAGCAGCTGTGGATAATAAAAAACAAATGACCATGACCGTGCCGTGTTCAAATAAACTCTGTAGGGCAGTAGTTTGCCAATGAAATCATGATATTAGAAGATTCTCATGAATATTTAAAAACGCAACTGTAACACGTTAACTTGCTTCTGGGGCCTGGATGGCTCAGTTGGTTAAGTGTCCAACTTCAGCTCAGGTCATGATCTAGTGGTTTGTGAGTTCGAGCCCTGCGTCGGGCTCTATGCTGACAGCTTAGAGCCTGGAGCCTGCGTTGGATTCTGTGTCTCCCTCTCTCTCCCCAGCTCACACTCTGTCTCTCTCTCCCTCTCAAAAATAAACATTAAAAAATATAAGTTGGTTTTTGTCCACAAAATTACTTTTCGGAAATCCCACACAATTCCATACAATTCTCCTAGGGGGTGGATGAAACCAGTACTCACACATATTGCCAATCATCCTGAATGCACATTGGAGAACACCTTCCAGAAATTCATTTGACAGGTTATTTCAAAAGCCAGAAACCCTGGGCGTGTAGGGAATAGATAGGTAAACAAAGGCTTAAGTTTCCTCAGTGCCCAAACTCTGCCGAGTGACCAGCCTGGGCCTGAGGCTGGGGACAGAATGAAGGGACTGGAAGGAACACTTATGGCCCAACTCTGTGGAGGAACGACACTGAAGGAAGTCATTCGAGGAAATATTATGCATCATTCCTAAAAATAAGAAGACTACATAAACACCATAAGAAAATGCTCGTGATACAATGTGAACTGAAAAATACCCGTGCACAGACGTATACAAGCACCCCGAAGACGACACTGTAAGAGCACAGTTAGGTAAAAGCGGAGCTTACACGATGACGACCGTGAACATGGCAGAACATCTCCTGGAACTTTCTGCAGTGCCAGCACGTCGTGGTGGCTCAGAGCAGGAACTCTGCCACCAGGGAGTCTGGCTCTGACTCCTGACGCCTCACTCACTAGCTCCGTGACCCTATGCCTCGTTTCTGTCGTCCATAAAACGGGGACAGTGACAGTCCTTACCTCATAGACTGCTGTGAAGGCTAACTGATAGAGTCCGCAAAGCACGGCAGACCGTTGCTGACAGCTGCTGTGCCATAAGGGTTTGCACTTGGTGTTAGGTGACGTTTATAGAGAATAAGGGATTTTTTTTTTTTTTACAAGGAAAAAGCTTCTAAAGAAACATTTCACCACCGAGCCTCAAAGTAGAATTATAATGGGGCTCAGTTTAGAAGGCAGCACCCACGTTGCTTCGTGATACTTACTGAATCAACCAGGATGTGTGAATGAGCCTCCTTCCGAAGGCTGGGGAAAATAGACATCTATGGAATATTGTACATCTGGCTCTAAACAGATGGGTGTGGGAAGCAGCACGAGTCTGTATTAAGAGAAACAAAGCAAAAATTCAGTGCCAAAAGTACAGTTATGTAACCTAAGCAGCCGTAGTAGTTGGTGGAGTTCTGCTGGCGTTGATGTGGGCTCCGCCATGGAGCAGAGGCCGGGTCTAGACCAGCTTGGGTGGGTTGAATGGACAGCAAAATCACACTCGGATTCTCTGTGGCTCCTCCAGAGGATTGTGCCAAATAGCAAGGCCTGGGGAATGATTAGCCACGTGTTGTCATAACAGCTCTGGGAAGAAGATGGAATAGATGTCCCTCTTCCTGTCTACCATGCTCATCTCAACAGGGTCTCCATTTTGTCTTGCCACAAATCTCTGATGCAAAATTAGTGGCCTCCAGAGCGGTAGCTTTTTACCTGGGAGCCTCTCCAGCTGTTGAGATAATGCCCTATCGTTTCTCTCGAAGCGTTTCACTTTCTCACCTCTCAAGGCCATCTGGGGAACGGGAAAGGAATGCTCGACACTGAGAGTCTGGAGGTCTGGACTGCGATCCTGATTCTGTTATACGCCAGCTAAGAGCCTGGGGCAGGGCTCCAAGTGTTCTCCTTCTCAGTTCCCTCCTCACCTGACGAAGACTTTGTCTTCCTCATCAAGTTGTCAGCAAGATGTGCCCTTAAATGTGAAGCTCAGGGTAACACACACCAAGCACTTAATAAATGTCACCGTCTCCTTTAACACACCTCTTCTCCTGCCTAGTTCTTTGCTACGGACTGATAGACATACGAAACTCTAAGAAGGCTTCTGTGTTTGAGGACAGGTCCCGGGCATACCTGGAAGTCGCCGGTAAAGGGAAAGACTGAGGTCGCGGCCGTGGAGTCTCAGGTGTACAGTGCTGGCTCTCTCCGAGGGGATTAACCAGGACCTGGACAGCCCAGTCGGCTGCGGGCTACAAGGGAGTGACATAAAAGCATGTTTTTGTGAGGATGTACGTACCACACACACCTAACGGACAGCCCTTGCAATCCAATCTGTCACCCACAGCCCTCTCAGAAAATGGAAGTTTGGAGCCGAAAGGAGTCTTAGAGGTTGGCGGTCAGCTCTAGCTCGCTGGTGGCTGAATGGAGGTCTGGGGAGACAGAACACTGTTCCTGGCCAGAGCTGTAGTTCAGAGGCTCCAAAGACTCTGGTGCTCCTGACAGGGCTAGTCTTCTTCTTCTTATTTTTTTTTTTTAATGTTTTATTTATTTTTGAGAGAGAGAGAGAGAGAGACAGCATGAGCAGGGGAGGGTCAGAGAGAGAGGGAGACACAGAATCCGAAACAGGCCCCAGGCTCTGAGCTGTCAGCACAGAGCCCGACGCGGGGCTCGAACCCACGAACCGCGAGATCAAGACCTGAGTTGAAGTCGGACGCTTAGCCGACTGAGCCCCCCGGGCGCCCCTGCCAGGGCTAGTCTTCAACGTCTGCTCCCCAAGAGTCAACTGATCATCCTGTTCTCGGATCACTGAACAAAAATGAAAACTTGGAATCCTTGACAAAAGGATATATACGTTTTTCATGTTATATAAATATTAGGGGCCTGGGTGGCTCAGTCGGTTAAGTGTCCGACTTTGGCTCAGACCGTGATCTCACGAGTTCTGCCCTATATTGGGCTCTGTGCTGACCGCTCCGAGTCTGGAGACGGCTTTGAATTCTGTGCCTCCCTCACTCTCTGTCCCTCCCCTGCTGGCATTCTGTCTCTCTCAAAAATAAGTAAACGTTAAAAAATGTAAATGTTATTTAAATGTATTGTTACATAAATTCTATGATTTAACATTTATTACTAACTATATGACTAAAATATAAAATATATTATTAAACCTATCTATATGTATGTAAATATGTATAGATATTTATAGCATATGCTAAATAGCTAAATTCTGAAGACCATGCAATTTGGAAATGCTTTTTTTTAAAGTTTATTTATTCATTTTGAGAGAGAGGGAGCACACACGTGCGCAAAGTGGAGAGGGGCAGAGACAGAGAGGGAGAGAAAGAACTCCGAGCAGGCCCCACGCTCAGTGCAGAGCCTGATGTGGGGGCTGAGTCCAGGAACCAGGACATTGTGACCTGAGCCTAAACCAAGAGTCGGTCTCTGAACCGACTGAGCCACCCAGGCACCCCTGGAAATGCTTTTTTAAGGTGTCAGAGGGGCACCTGGGTGGCTCAGTCAGCTGAGCCTCTGACTCTTGATTTCGGCTCAGGTCGTGATCTCATGGTTCGTAAGATTGGGGAGCCTGCTCGGGATTCTCTCTCTCTCCTCCACTCTCTGCCCCTCCCTGCTCATCTGCTCTTTTTCTCAAAATAAATAAAAATTCAAACAAAAAATGTGAAAAATAAAGATGTCAGAGATGTGTTCTATGGAAAAAATCATCTATTATATTTTTAATGACTTGTCCTACCTACTCACCAGGTCCAAGTTTACTGAAGTCCCTTGGCTTTTGTTTATAAGTGATAAATAGAGAATTATGTCACATCAAGGGTCTCAAAGTGGGTCAGCAGCTCTGATCACATAACACACAATGAGCGCTTCCAGAATGCAGTCCCTAGAGGTACGCTGGGGGCCCTGAGACCACCCCCAGCCTTATAAAATACTTTGGGGGGTGGTCTGTGGGATGTCAGATTATCACTGAAAAGATTGTGCAAAGAGAAGTGAGGAACCACTGCTTTAGATCAAGCGTTTTTCTCATTTGGTTTCTTTTTCTTTAATCTTTATTTTTGAGAGAGAGAGAGACAGTGAGACAGTGTGAGTGGAGGAGGGACAGAGAGAGAGGGAGACACAGAATCCAAAGCAGCTCCAGGCTCTGAGCTGTCAGCACAGAGCCCAACGCGGGAATTGAACCATGGACCATGAGATCATGACTAAGCCGAAGTTGGATGCTTAATGAACTGAGCCACCCAGGGGCCCCTCTAACTTGGTTTCTATTCTGCCTTAGATATGTCTCAAAAGGCAGTGACGGAGGGGTAGCAAGGCCGGGGAAGCCTCGAGGAGCAGCCCGCTTTTAGTTTTGCTCTTGTTTCAGGGTAAAAGCCAAGTGCAAATAAACGCCTCTTCTGTATCTCTAGGAGTCAAAATCTCTTCACATAGGTTAGCCTGTGAAGTTTTTAGAAAAAGCCTAAGGAGGGCAGAATTTGTGTTATTTTAGTTTTTTATTGTGCTTATACAAACATTCCATCACCACTTCCTCAGACCCTGCCCCTTCAATATATAACGCTGCTTTCTCCATGGAATACATCATGCGTGCCTCTGGCTTACTGTGTTGTTTTAATATCGTTAGGAAACTCTTTGATTTATAACGCTCTCCAGATGTTCTGGGTTTTGTTTTGATTTTTGGGTGTTTTTTTTTTTTTTTTTTTTTTTTTTTGCAAACCATTCTCTGATGACCCTACCTCACAAGACTGGAATGGAAACTCTTTGAGAATGTCCTACTTCGGGCAGGTTTTACCCTCGCAGAAGAAGTTGGATGCCTGAGTTTCATAGCGAATGGCGATGGTGAAGTCCACGGGAAAGGCAATGTGGTCCACAGAAAATCTCAAGCCAGCCCCAGGGAGAACCCGGGCAAACCCACGTCCGGTCCATGCACTGGGGGTTCCAGGAACCGGTTCTTGGAAAACAACGTGAACAGCAGGCACCTGGCCAAAAGTCACTGAGCCCTAAAATTGGAGAAGAATGCACTCAGCGTCGTTAGAGCCGAGTCCTGGAAGAGTTCGGGGGAAAAAAAAGGACATATTTCCTGATGTGCATATGATCCATCTGAGTCACGGGTAGATTATTCCAACCAGGATACGATCCAGAATGCATCTGAGACGTGCTGAATCAGCAGCTTTGGAACACATGTTAAAGTATAGAATGATTGACTTCCAAGCCGTGTCACTGGAAACCACTTTAAACTTAAGTACCCAAGTGCTAATGAACTGAACACATTCCACACTGCTGACCTTGGGTTTTCTCAGATATGACCGCAGGATTCTGGCCAAAATACGGAGGGAAAGAAAATATTCCCATGCTTACTTCATGGACTTTGCCTCATTATGCACGACAGTGAGAAAACCCATTTGGAGATAGATATATATGATATTTCTTCCATGCAGACATGAGAAACACCCTTCTATCTGCTTGGAGGCATAGAAGTATAAAACGTGTAACGCACTTGATCAGCATCCCTCTTGGTCTCTGCCCAGGATGTCAGCCTGGGGCCATCTAGAACCTGGAGATAATATTTTAATGACTTTTGCATCTGTCTCCCCACGCTCACAGCATCCACCGGAATTCTGCCTCTTGTTGCTTTTTGCCTGTCGCACTACAACAGTGCCTTGGCCGGTCTCTCCATCTGTCCCTAATCCAACCCACATGACACACCGCTGCTAATAAGTGTTTCACACTCTTACCGACTGCCAACAGAATCACACCCAAATTACTTAGCCTGGGGTTCATGTTGCTCTGCGATCTACCCCAAACTGCTCCTCCTTTGATGAGTGCTTATTGAGTAACAATTCAATGTCAGTCCCTGCATTCGGAATGCAAAGGTGAATAGGACATAGTCCTGGCCACGGAGGAGAAGAGAACCTTGCTTTGAAGATCAAAATGTAAATAAGAAACTATCACCAGATTAGGTTTCAGCAGAGATCTATGTAAATTTGACTACATGCAATGTCTTTCAAACATTTAAGAAACACTCTCACAAATGCAGTAGATGCTGTAGATGCCCCTCGGGGACCTCCTTTACCAGTTTATGCCTGTGAGCTCCTTCCTGGATCAACCCAAGGCTGGTTTTACCTGAGGCCACATCTTACTCCCTCCCCCCATCTTGTTTCCTTCACTCCCTTACCAAGTTTTCCTGAATAACACTTCCTTACTGAATCACCCAAATGCGCCCAAATTCTGTACTAAATCACCTTACTAACTGCGCCCAAATCCAGTCCTGGGCTCTGTCTGTTTCCAGGGCACTTGACCTGCCACAGCTGGTGCCAACCGGTTTACCTAAGAGCAGACTCCAAGATGCAATTGCGGAGGAGGATTGTTTTCGGCCCAGCTGGCAATGGGGACCCTGTGTGTAACATGTACTGATGGTCCCTGGGATGTGGTGGCAGAGAAGTTGCTAAAGCTGTCAGCTGTGGGGAAACAGGGCGGGATGAAGGCATAATGGGAGCCACTGGCTGGAGCCATGTTCCTGGCATTGAGAGATACGGGGGAACGGTAATTATAAGGACTGTGGAAATAGGTAGGAGTTGTTGAATGCCATTGATGCTTTGATAAGCGAGGAAGACAGGCACAGGGCAATCGGTCACCAGTTTAAAGCGGAGTGTGAGAATCAGAGGGCCTCTCTGGACGTATTTAAAGAGACTCATCTCCTTCAGGTAGATGGCAGGAAGAGCTGAAGGTCAAGCACGGGACCTCACCGTAAGACTTGCAGAACTTTGGAGAAGCCTGAATTCTCAGCCTAGGTAAGTCACTTATGCCAAAGTCAGGTCCTTCACAGGGAAGAAGAGGGATCTTAAGACATGGGTGATGCACAGGAGAACCCTGAACTCTGAGTGCTCATGGACTATAGACGTAATCCACCCATTCTTACTGGAAAGTAGAGCCCCTCCCCTCCACCCCTGACGCATTTGAGGACAATGCATCAATTGACAAACCTAAATGATGCAGCTATCTTGTAAGAAAAAGTGTAGCTTCCTAAGGATCTGCCTCTACTACGCCTCCTGACCACGTGCCTGATAATTGGGGTCAAGTTGAAGCACAATCCGACTGGGAAAGTGCTAGATCTCTGAGAGGGACCTGGCTAACATGTACCAGCAGCAACTGGGAGAGAATGGGTCTGGGTCCTGAGGTTGCTAGAATAAGGAGGCAGAATAAGAAACTGGATACAGAGAGTTTGTTGATTTGGGATCACCAGGAATATAGGAGTTAATGGCCTGGCAAGAGCTTTGGAGCCTTGGGGGATGGATCCAGTATTTTGCTGGAGTAACTCTTGGAAGCTTGGCAGAAGCTGTGGCCCTGAGGAAGGGAAGTGGAGGTTCCAGAGCTGCTGTAGTAGACTGTGGAGGAAGGGATACAAGGCTCAGAGTAGTAGGCATTCTAGAACAGATCTAAGATACAAGACCAGGAAACCCACCAACTGATCAAGTTCCTTAGAGGCCTGGAGGACACTCTATTTATTGAGACAACAAGCAATGACTGGTGAGAAGGGCGTCAGCATCACTGAAAGGCGGAGTGCTGGGTGTCCTCTGTAGGCTGGTAGGATGTATCATTGCAAAAATGAGCTCCTTGGTATCAGTGTGGAGGACAGGATCCCAGACTATCGGAGGCTGGGTAGCACTGAACTCTAAAAAGCCAGAGGGGCTTAATTTTTACAGGGGGCAGCAAGGTTGGAGAAGGAGACAAGGGGCCTGACCCATAGGGATCTTCTGTGGAGATGACTGACAGAACGTGGTGTTCGTAGGAGCAACACAGATGAGCAGACAACCAAAGAATTGCTTAGTATATAATATCAAAAGTGATCAGGTATGAATTAGCACAAGGCTGAGGTCAGCTGACCCAGTGGAAAGATGTGATGTTCTGTCGAGTTCCTAGACCTGAGCCACTTCTTGCATCCAGAACCCAGTGACTGAATAAGAGGCCAGAAGCCCATGAAGACTCTTCAACACCATGGCAAGGGTAAACCAGGTACCCAAAGTGCCATCATGGTCCCCTTGTTAGAAGAAGGGCATCTGAGGGTCAGGTGACACATGGAGTCCTGGCCTAAGTCCTTTTTACAATCACTGATTGTACTGAACCAACCAATGGTCACTGATTTACTGAACCAACCATTGATTATTTCCTCCACTTCCTGACTATGTAATTGGAATGGACCTGCTTAGCAGTGGGCATTAATTCTTTGACCTTAAGGAAACGTAAGAGTTCTTCTAGAAGGAAATGCCAAGTAAAAGCTTGTGAAATGCCCATTCTCGACCACTTTCTCCCCACCAAGTCAAGAGAGTAAATAAAAAGCAATACTACAAATCAGAGACATCCTCCAAGTGCCACTCTCAGGACTTGATGGTGGTTCCCACCATGTCCCCATCATAAGCCTCATACAGACTTAACCAGCTTATAGCCCCATCTGCAGCTGTCATGCTTGATGGAGCATCTTTACCAGGGCAGATTACCACTACCCTCACACAGGGTATGCATCGACGGAAATGCAAAACATGTCCTTCTCCATAAACACAGAGAAGGAACAGAGGCGATCTGTCTTCACCTGGGGTGGGCAGCAGTGTGTGTTCAGTCTTTCCCCAAGACTGTTCATGCTCCGGGTCTCTGTGACAAGAGAGCCCAGAGGGGTTTGAACCATTTAGATAGTCCACAAAATGTCACACTGATTTCCTATATTAAAGGAAAGGGAAGTGGGTCCCTTGGCCCAAGCTGAGGTTATGTGGTCTCCCATAGTGTGAATCAGATACTCTGCGACCTCTGTCAGAATCACTGTCTGAGGGTTCACAGAGTGTCTGATTCACCAGTGGGACGACATAATCCGTCCTCAGCTCAAGGGACCCGCCTCACAGCAGAAGAAGTATGACTTTGCGATCCCCTACTCTACACAAACTGTGCCACCTAGATGTTAATCGCAGGTGGCAGTGGAGTGGGAACAGTTGAAAATGCATCAGCTTCACCAGCTTGGGGATGACACCCTGTGAGATGGGACAGTATTCCTCAGGATGTCACTTACTCCTTAAAGAGACAGACTTTAAGTGATGCTGTCCTCCCAATGGGGAGAAAACGTGGGTTTAGGAATCAGGTAGGATTAGCCAAGCTCACAGTCACAGGTGGTGACCAAGGGAATTTGGGCTCTTTGTGCTTGCAACTTTAGGCTCTGTGGGTCTAGACGTCCTGATTCTTGGTCAGGAACAAAGAATCCCACGAACTTTAGAGCTATGGCTGTGGCATGGCCGCTGGGACTCCTCATGCCTGTAGGCCAGGAGGCCCGGGAAGAAATGCCCGTAACCGGAAGGGCTGATCCTACTTAGTCAGGACATGAGGAATATGTGTGGCACGGAGGTAGCCGCTAAGACACCCGCGGTGTTCCCCCCGATGTGGCCCGAGAAGACCAGGGAAACCAGGGGCCCAGTCCTGGAAGGATGAAGGTCTAGGTCATCCCAACCAGCAGAAGTGCGAGTTGAGGGTGAGGGGAATCCAGAATGGGTGGCAAGGAAGGAGGGAGCCAGCGAGTATCGATTACAACCTTGGGGACTAACTGTGGCAGCCAGAGGCTGCGTTTGTCCCCTAATCTCCGTTTATAAATCCCCCCAGGAATTGTGACCAGTGAGAATCCTGGAGAGGCTGTATGCACACGGAATAAACTTAACGTAAGGAGGCAGATGGGCAGGGTCAGCTTCATGGGCATGCAAATGTGTACCTCCAGAGGGTCCCACGCTCAGAAGGGCCCCGTGCTTGGTTTAATGCTCTGCTGTCACCATCTTGAGATAACTTATAATTTTATGTTTGAAACTGTTTTGTTAGTGAAGTTTCTTGGTACAAGGGAGCGTGCACAGTAGCGTGCACACGAGCAGGACAGAGATGCCCCATATGTGTGTGCTTCTTTGCCCCCATTTGCAAATAGTGCACAAGATGCCGGTGAGCACAGCATTCTAGTGGACCTACTACGTGCACGTGC